AAAGGTTTATTTATTATTTTAATATTTTGATTCGTAAATGTTTTTTAATTCTTTTTTAGAGAAGCAAATTACAATAAGTAAAATGAACCAATAAAAAAATTATCAACATTTATATAAAATAAGGCACCATCAGGAAATTCCTTTTTTTAAAAATATTTTTAATTACAATTTATTATAAAAATTAGTTAAATTTATTAAGCAAGTATACTAAAGTTTTTATTTATTATTTTGAAACAAATTAAAATATAACTAAAATATTTAAAAAAATATTAACATTAAAGGTATATTATATACCTATGAATTGAAATTGTATTTGATCGGAATTTCAATTGTTTGTCTAATAAAGAATCTTTTCGTAGCTTATCCCAATGTGAAAAAATATTCTGTCGAGTATCATGGTGAATAGAGAAAAACAAAAGCCTATGAAATGTTTTTAGTTTATTTACTTTAAAAAATAATCTATGTGGAAGCAAATATTGAATTGGTTATTAAACTTGATTAATTTTAAATGAAACACCCTGATGGGTTGAACTTGACCTGAAGAGTTCTCCTTTGCTGTCATCATTCGTTTACTAACAGTAAAGTGTTTCCTTATACCTGCTTCAAATCTGATAATTCATCTGGTCACTTAGATTGCAACATTTAGCATTCCAGCATTATGGCCCCTTTGAGATAGCTCAATGATAGCTGCCATCCACAAACCGCGGAATTCTTTGGGAAATTGGCCGATTCCTTGTTTAGTTGATTCTACCATTATAGATCTTATTTTTATTTCAAATAATATGAATTTTATCACAGCTGAAGAGAAATTAAAGAAACATTCTGATATCCTAACCGACTAAATTCATTTTTGTCTAGTTGTAGCCTTCACCCCCCCCCCTCCCTTCCCAATTTTTGATGTGCACTTTCCTTTATAAATATGAGAGTGTATCAGTTGCCATCATGCATATTCAATATTATGATATCACATGTTTTACTGATTTTGTGTATAGCTATTTTCGCTAAGTTTATATTGGAGAAGTATAATTATTACCTTTTTAAAATAAATTTTAGAATTTACTTAGCCCTATTTCCAATATTTTATCTAACTTTTCTTTAGCTCTATTCAACTTTTGAGCGTCGGTCTTAAGCTTTTCATTGTGTTGAATTCAGCTATCGATTAATTGAAAGTAGAAAAAAGGGTCTTATTTTTTTTAAAATAAATAAACATATTTTTTGAATGATTTATAAAATTATTATTTTTGAAAGCTATATATAGGTTCTACATAAGGCTAAAGGGTGAGGTCAGAGTTGGGCAGTACCGCTAAATAAGATACAAGATTCTTTTGTATCTTGTACTAAGTATCTTTTTGACATTTTTAATAAGATATTAGTATCTGTACCTAAGATCATTTATTATGAAAAGTTGTATCTTTTTCATTTTCTTGATAAATGATACAGATATAGATTCTTTTTAATATTCATGTTTAACAGTATATATCTTATTTTCTTCGGGAATCTTGTATTAATTTCCTTATTTTTTCCACCATATTTTAAGTATATTGACATCAAAATTAACTGGAAAATTTACTATTCTTATTAATATGGATAGATAAAAAATGACACCAAAACGAAATATTTTATATATAAATGTAACTCAATAGAACATTACCAATTTTATGTAATATTTTTTAATATAGGATGATTAATACTCATGGTAGTGTAGAAAAAGGTAGTGAAATTTAAATTATGGAAATAAGTTCCCCTTCAAATCCTAATCAAAATTTTAGATGGGAATATTTTAAAAAAAAAGTTAAAAAATACAATGTAAAGTCTGAATGTAAAACCTGTATAAACCAAAAAATCATAAAGGGTTCAACACAAATTTTGTTAAATATATTAAAGTATATTATTTTTGGGTGGTTAAAATGGATATGGGTTATCTTAAAAATTCAAGTTTACAATATTGTTTACATTTAATAAAAGCTAAGATGGTATAGGCTAATAAGAAAATATTTTCTTATGATATGAATATAATGAGACTTTTTTTAAATCAATATCACATCCATATTTTAAGAAACTAATGGGTCGGATTAAAAAATATATTATTAAAAGAAGCCCTAAATGTAGTGCTAGAGTATATAATCAAGTCAAACTATAACACCAATAGATTTAAGAAAATGATGATTGGTGAAACAAATGTTGTTGAGTTCAATAATGCAATAACATTGAACTGGAGGTTTTATATTTATTATAATAAAGAAAGTCGAAAAACCTATTAATGCTTAATTATTATCATCCATTAAGGAATTTTTTTTTTAAATATAATACAGCAATACCTTCATCAACTTCAATTGAAAGGTTATTTATTTTTGGCATAATATTAAGTACGCCGAAACGGCAAAGGTTTAATAATAAATATTTGAAAAATTTGATTATCTTATAAAATAATGTATCTGTTTTAAATAATCCTTTGCAAATTAATATTTCAACTTCCATTACAAATACTAGTCTCTTGCCTATCTATGCAAAGTATGGCCTAATATTAATATTTAAATGCTTGATTATTATAATCAGTGGCGTAGATACAAGGGGGGGGGGGATTTTTTTTTTTAGACTCAAGACTTATATCAAATAAATACAATGAATATTTATATTTTTCTGGTTTTGATGTTTGTGGAAGGATATTATATTACTATTAAAATTATTCTGGATAGTATTATTATAAAGTCATTGAGAACAATCTACTAAATTATAATAACATATTGTTGATGCATTTAAAAAATATATTTAATATATTATCGAAAATATGGTTCAAAAATAATTATAATTCAATATATTAGCCAGAAAATTATGCAAACCTGGAAATTTTGCTCATGGATGATATATAGATTTAGACATTATTCGTGAAATCTATAGGCTTGAGCAATATTTTTTTTGGAAAAATATTGAGTTAACTGTTTATAAAAGGCTCAAATCGAGCCTTTTAACAACACTAATTAAAATGATCTATAATTCTAGGACTTTATAAGAAAAACAAATATGATTTTTAAGATAAACCCGGCCGAAGGCCCGTATTCCCCCCCCCCAGACTTTTATATGTATGGACCCCCTCTAAGGAAAATTTCTAGATACGCCATTAATTATAATAAACTCATAATTAAATATTTTATTAATTATTGTAAATATACATTCTTATTATATGCGTATGTTATATTCTTCACAAATGAGTAATAAAAACTGTATCTTATAAACTATTCGAATTTAATTGCTAATGATATTTAAAAGTATCTTGTATTTAAGATACTCTAATTTAGCAAAAGATACAAGTATCTTTTATCTTGTATCTTTTTGATATTTTGAAAAAGATACTAGTATCTCTATCTAAGATTCATTTTTTTATAAAGAATTTTTATCTTTATTTTGATTTTTTCCCGAGGACCTGTCCAACACTGGGTGAGTTAGGAGAATTTTGCCTACAAATTTTGAAGGGGGGTAAGCATATAAGGGGGGTAAGCATATAAGGGGGGTATCATAGGGTTAATTTTTGGGGGCTATCAATCAAATTTTTAGATGAAATAGGGAAAATTATATTGCTGTAACGTTATATATAAGTTATATAGAAAATAAAAATTGACGCAGTTTTATTCAAGGCAAAATATAATATTAAATTTTAAAAAAAAATGTATAAAAATATTAAAAAGATTTGATTTAATAATCGTATATTCGAAAATATCTATAAGTTCATGAGTATTATCATTTACGACACCTATTGCATCCGTATCCAAACTTTTTTTATTTCCTACTTGCATTATGAAATTGCAAAAAGTATGTAATGACCGTAAACTCGGATGTGATTTTTATTTGATAATTACCGGAACAATCAAAAGATATCTTTTACAACTTTTTTTAAAAAAAAATATTTCAAAAAAATATTTAAAAAAGAAATCTAAAAATATATTTATTTATATAAGAATAAAATAGCAAATTAACCAAATAAATACTATCAATCCTTTATCAATATTAAAAAAATAAACAAAATAAATTACATATAAAAAAATATATATTATCCGAAAGAAGCGACAATCAAAAAAAAACGTTGGAAGTGGGATAAAAAAATAGAAATATACCACTTGTTTATAATATATGGTAGATTTTTGTATTATAATCAGTGACTTCTTTTACACCTACTCTTATTAGAGATCTGCAAAACTAGGCCCGGCCGTCGGGTTCGGGCTGGGTCGGGTCTTGGAAATTTTTTATCAATTTTATGTTGATTTTTAATGTAAAATAAAAATATTTTAATTTATTTATAGAAACTAGATGCCATATAACATTTGAGTAATTATAAAAATTAATTTCTATATTTAAATAAATTCGGGCCGGTAAATATTTTTTTTTAAAAATATCGGGTTCAGGCCGGGCAGGCAAATTAAAAATTTCGGGCCGGGCCAGGCTTGAAAAATTAGGCCCGATGCAGATCATAAACTCTTAGCGTGAAAATTAACCCTCCACCCACCCCCCACCCACACCCCCCCCCCCGCTTACAAATTTTAATTTTTTACTTTTTTTAAGAATTGTTACCCATACTCCCAGTTAATCTTCACCTCCTACTACCCTGCTGAAAATTATCCTATTCTTAATTAACTGAACTACACTCAATAACGAAAGCCAAAATGATTATTTGATTTGAAACATGATAGATGGCATAATATATATATAATATAATTACCATTGCATTATAAAAATAAGACAATTTAAAAATACACTGCAAAAAATGTAAATAAAAATATTATATAAATAATTGATATATAATACTATGGCAAATTAAGATCACCAAGTAAATTAATTGATGCTACTTTTTAAATAAAATATGAAAGATAATGTTTAATGAGTTATCATTGTAGGGTTCGGAACTATTATTAAAGAATTGTTTTACTCAGTAATTATTTTAAAATATTCATATTGGGTTTGAAATATATGCGTTGTTTAGCATTATTTAAAGTGCCTATATGTTGGCAACACTCTCATAGCCAAATTCAAATTTATAATATATCTATTTGATCTATCCCTTATAATTGTCACAATTTCGGACAAATAATACATGAATATGAATATAAAATAAATATAATATAATATTTCTAAATATTATGGGTGTTCATAGTTTATCACAAAAAGTAATATGAACTGCTTTGAATATATATCTATTACAAAATATTTTCGATATTAATATTAGTTATTTTCCAATATTCATAATATATATATAATAATAAAATTTTAAAATAATGTATAAACATTTAACTTAAAAATTTACTAATTATCATTTTTTAGGTCCAGTTTGGTTTTGAAAATTTTTTAAATCTAATTTGTCCATTATTTTATTTAAAAGTAGGTGTATCATCAATTAAGATAATTTAATTTTAAAAATCAGCCTGGACTGTGGTGTAGACAAATTTATTATAGGCTCAGCCTAGATTAAATATGTAATATAATTTTGAGCCAGTCTGAATTTTTCAATTATACCATTTTATGATGGGTCCCAAATTTATTTGTATATCAATCACTTCATCCTGCTATTTAAAAAGGTTTGGGGTCTAAATATTTTTAAAAAATTGACTCCTAGAAATTTTAAAAAGGGTGTCTTACATTTTACACAGTTCCAAAAGAATCCAGACTCTGATTACAGTTTCAAACTATTAAAACTGAAAAAAAAATGCAGACAATAAATAAACTCTAGAATGAATCACAAAATTTTGAACAATATAGATATTAAAGACCTGTAGCAAAATACATCTCAGGTATATTTACTAGGTTATTGTACAAAAAACTAGATCAATAATTTCTACCACCAAGGAAATTTTTTTTAAAAAAAAATGTGCCTGGCTTGAAATTAAAAAAATTTTCAAATCTAGCCTAGCTCTACAATTTTGACCTTTGCAGGTCTCTGGTAAATAAAATATTTGCACTTTTGTTTAGAACAATTTTGGAACCAATTGCTGGAATTTCAGATGGTTCCTATTCCAAGATTTGTCCCAGTTCTGAATGTTCAAACTCAAAAATATAAATTAATAACTTTAAATAATTAAATTATCAAAATGTTATGCCAAATATAACTTAATCTGGACAGGCTAGTATTGCTAAAAAAGATGTAAGTCTACCCCCCCCCCCCCATTTATTGATAAACCCAGTATTGGGAAAATTATATACAGCTAATGTTGTTAAAAGCTATATTTGGGTTAATTTTTTAAAATGGCAAATTTTATTTAATAATTTATTTTAGACTCAGCTAAAAGCCATAAAGCAATATTATAAAAACTTTTAAAAAGTAGCTAGTTACATTTTTTGCAAAAGTGACTAATTATTTTATTTGAAAATTAACTAATTACATTGTAAGTTGATTTACAAATGATATACCCATTTCATTTTTAATACAATTTTTTTGGAAATTAAATGAAAACAAATTTATTTTAAAAAAAAAGAAATAATTGCACCGAAATTTTTTTTTACCTTTAATTTTTATTGAAAAAAAATGTAATTAGCATTTTTAAATACATAGTATCCTTCAAATGCATGGTCTTCAACACAAAATGTCCGTTTAAATTTAGTTAGTACATTAAGAGGTCACTTTGTTTTTGGAAAAGTAACATGTATTTGAAAAAGAACACCCTATGAAAAATTTAAATATGCACCAAATTTTTTTTATAAATTCCACATAATAATATTTTTAACAATATGCTATTTTGCAAAATTTATGTTTAAATGTTTGCTAGTTTTTCACTTAAAATAAACTTCACAATAGACCAAAACAAACGTTCTATAGGAGCACTTTGTGCTAATTAGACATTACATTTATTAAACGATAATTTTAAATCTGGGAAATCATATAAAGATAATGAGAGATATATATCTATTATTTGTTGATTTTAAAAGTAACCTGAAAAATAACTCATTACTTTTCTCGTTATATCAAAAAATGTAGGTAACAATTATAGTTACATCTTTTAAAGGACACTCGTTACACAGGCTTTTTTACAACATTTTTTAGGTAAAAAAAATTTATCAGGGGGCTCGATCCCTTTCTCATCCTAGTGATGCTACAGACTAGTTATCGTTAACAATCATTAAGTACAAATTTTTAACGGTCTTAAAATGTTTACACTTAAATCAGATTTTTTAAACCATTTGTGAATTTACGATTTTATCACGGAAATTGACCTAATAAGTATTCATACATGAATATTTGAATATTAAGCTTTATCCTAGCAGTCAAAATTATTTATTTAATGCTCACTTTCACGTAGTGTTTGCAACGGTCCGGTCCGGTCTTTTTTTCTAAAATGGGACCGGACCGATGGACCGTTAAGTCAAATGAGACCGGACCGTGGGACCGTCGGTCCGGTCCGGTCCAGGCGGTCCGGTCCCACCTAAAAAAATTTTTTTTATAAAGCTACAAAAATTTTATTCTGCATTTAAATTTATTAAAAATGAATAGTTAAATTACCCTATTAATATTTCAATTATATCATCAATTCATTTTTATTATATTATACACAAATGCCTAATCAAAGAAGAATATAAAAAGTAAACTATGAATATTGAATTTAATGAAACGGAAGAATATAAAAAGTAAACGATGAATTAGATATTATATAGTGTTAGGCATTAAATAATCATATTTTATATGTTCATGTACATACACATTAACTATAAAGCAATTTATAGTAAACTTTTATATTCTTTAATCGGTCTTCGGTCGGACCGGACCGTGGGACCGTGTTGTTGGACGGGACCGTCCCATAGGACCGAAAAGTCTAATAAGACCGGACTGGACCGGACCGGACCGTTGCAAACACTACTTTCACGACACAATCATTGCAGGCCTCTTTTAAGATTGCAGAATAAATTATCTCCATTATAAGTTCCAATTTAAAAGTGATTGTTGCTAAATTTCCCTTTATAATATAATCTACTAATCACATTTGGTGTTATATTTTTTTAGATGAATATAATCTTTTAATTAAACAAACCCTCAAGTGTTAATCATAATCAATATAAGTTATTATGATTGATCTAATTATGGGAGGGAAATTCGTAATTTAAGTATACTTCACATTCCCTCAGGATCTAACAGATTTTTTTTATCATTTATAACATAATAATAAACATTCCTCATATTGTTAAGCATTTTTATAAAACACCGTCACTCTGTGATTAATATTTAGAATTTAGATTCAATATAATAATTTTTTTAAAAATTCTTATATACCTATAATCCTTTTTTTATACTTTATTTTTTTTTTAAATTTAAGACTCTTTAATTTAAATCTACATAATGGTAATTCTAAATGTTCCATCTTTTCTATTATTATTGATTATCGGAAAATAACATGGATTCCGATATTAATCGCTCAACATCGACCGTAAAATTCATCGTAAAATTGAAATATTATAAAAAAATTTACACTTTATAACATTTTATTTTAAATGTTTTAATTTTTTTTAAAATATCGAAACGGGTCATGTCCGGAATTGTATAAATTTTTTTTAAAAAAAATAAATTTAGCATATATATGTTATTTAAAATAATTTTTTTTTTACAAGATCCTTCAAAAAATGCTTATAAACATGTGATATGTGTGCCTTTAAAAACTTAAATTATATTATATAAAAATCAGAAAATCAATATTAATTTATATGTCTTTTCCCTTTTTTAAATTTGTAAGAGTAATTCGCGATGATTTAATTTAAAAATTAACCCCATTTTTCTTTTATATTCTGTGTAATTAATAATTCTACCCTTTTATCTATTCATTTTTAATTTTACTTTGTTTTACCTGTAAACACAGGAAAATGAAACCAATAAGAAAAAACAGATCCAAGAGAACCGAAAGTCCAGGGGCCATTGGGGAAATTACACGGAATTCATATTGTCATGTATAGGATTCTCTGTCGGAATAGGAAACGTTTGGAGATTTCCTTACATATGTTACGAAAATGGAGGAGGTTTTTAAAAAAAATATCTCATACTTACTTTTATTTTCAGTATTTATACATAAATGAGCCTATTCAGGCCGGGTCCTTTTATGCCCTTCGTCATCAACGAGGATGACCTTATAAAAACAATTTTATAACTAATTTAAATATTTGGAACCAGGTAGAAATAATCATTTTAATGGGAAAGATCACTTTTGAACGTTTTATCATTTACAAAGAATTTAATTTATTATTTGCAAAATATATAGGTGCCTTCTTGATCCCGTTCATGATAATATTGATCTTAATCGGAATACCGCTCTACTTTCTCGAATTAGGTCTTGGACAATTCACTAGGTTGGGCCCTCCCGGCGCTTTCAATTTGGTCCCTATGTGCATGGGTTAATTTACTTTAAATAATAAATTGCTTAGTTTTGTAAAATTATTGAAATTTAATTTATATGATTATACTTGCAAATATTATGCCAGAGTTTACAATTCTTGAGATACCGGTCGATGCTCACAATATCGACCGACCATGGTTGATTGGCGATATCAATTGTGGTATCGGTAAAAATAGGGTCGTGCATTTCTGCTCAAAATTCTAAAAAATAGATTATTTATGTCTTTTTTTAAGAATGTTCATCCTAACATATTAATCAAATTTTTTTGTAAAAATTGTAATTTTTATGTATAAAAAAAATCATTTCCCTTCAAACTAAAACATTTCATTTTTCCATATAATTTTGTATTTTTTAGCATTTAGAAATTTTCTTTTTCTTTTGGGGGGTATTTCTTTAAAAATAGTTAGCAATAGGAGAATAATTTTATTTAAAGCGTCTTTTTAATATATTTGTTTGTAATATACCAATTTATATAAAATTTAAATGCTATTTTATTAAAAATATCATTTATATATTTTTATAAAATAAATCATTATAAACAACTTAAAAATTTTTTTTTAATGCTTATTTAAAAAATCTATATTTTTTTTAAAGATTTTTTAACGAATATAAATCTTCAAATGCGCACTGAAGATTTTTTTTAAACCTTGTATTATGTAAAATCATATTTTTATATTTGATTGGTTACATAGTACGATATTTTGAATTTTAAGTCTGTATTTTAAGGTTTTTTCTTTGAATTAAAGAAAGTAAGGAAGATTTTTTTTCAATGAAATATCTTATTTTAAATATCGGAACGCGCGCAATTTATATTAATTATTTCCTTTTTTTAAACGTTTTAAAAGGTATTGGGGTGGCTATGCTAATCGTTTCTGCCATAACAGGCATATATTATAACGTGGTCATGGCTTACACCTTGTTTTACACGTTCGCCTCTTTTCAAAAAGTACTACCTTGGACCCATTGTAATGGAGTGAGTTATTATTTTTTTTATGTCGATTTACCATTAGAAGCTTGCTTGGGGCGGGCCAATTTTGATAAAACGTGACTCTTATTTATAGTATGTCCCTTTATTTTCTTTACTTACCGAAAAAATAATTGATTCCGATTCAAGGTCGAAAGCCATATTTATTATAAAAAAATTTAAAAATTATCTCTAGCGATATGCAAAATACTTAATAAATAATCAACATTGTTAAGATTTTTTTTGAAACTTAAACAGTTTATATGATTTAATTTTAGCTATACAACACCCCAAATTGCTTTTTGCGAACCAATCAATCATTTCTATTTTCCGCAAATTCGACTAACAGTTCTTTACTGAATTCCTTGCAATATAATACCAGTCACATGATAAGTTCGAGCGAAGAGTATTGGTTGTAAGTCACCTGATTTTACATTTGTATCTATTAAAGATATATAACGTAATATTTTGAAATATGGCCATTTGGCATTGAAATTAATTTATATATATTTTTTAATCTAAACTTTTTTTAAATAATTTTTTTTAATTTAAAAGACTTTGCTCATTTTTGAATTGCAGGATACATTTTCAATATTTTATATGTAAAAATAAAATAAATGATTTAAATAATATACGTATAATGATATATTTTCGATTCTTATTTATTGTACGTCATATTTTATGGCTAAATATTATAATGTATTAAGTGTAAGATGTTTTTTTTATAAAGAATTGACCTTTTGATTTATATATTCATTCATCCGTTCCTTCATTTAAAGCAACATAAATAAAGATTGACTTTAAATCCAAGGTCAATAAAATGATAATATAAAAATTATAATTTGTTGTATTTACTACAGTTCTTGGTTATCTAATATTTTAGTTTAAAAATAAGAGATTAAATTTTTTTGACTCACTTTGAGCAGAAAATAAGAACTTATTAATAATTTTATCTTAATCTTTATAGGACTTGGAATATCATTAAAAAATAATCAATATTTTTAAATCAATTATAATATAAGTTTTGATAATTTAATGTTTGTAGATAACTTTTTACAATAATTATTTTATACACGACAATATTTTTTTTTTGTATTTTTAAAGCATTTATCAGCTATTTCACTTTTAATGCGAGTACTTATATTAGATTTAAGATGTTGCAATTTGGTAATCCGGCTCATTGATTGAAACTTACCGGTTTTCTCAGAGTTTGGAACCAAAACAAAAAAGAATCCAGGATATTATTTTTTAAATGTTTCGGTCAGATTTTTTTAAAACATGGGTTCTAATTAAGGTTCCTGGATTTGGCATCCGGTTCTAATCTCAGTTAATATGCAATCAATAAAGAATTTTTAAAGAATAAATCAGAATTCCATCGATAATACCATTTTAGTATTCTGCAATAAATAAACCTCGAAAACGGATCATATAATATATCGGTCCTGGTCCTGAATATTTTAAATCCGGTTTTATATCCAAAAATGTAGGAAAGGGTTCACTTTAGAGGGCTCCGGTTCCAAACTCTGGTTTTCCCAATAATTAAAGTATTAAGAGCCATGATGTATATTAATTTATGACACAAATATAGAAATCGTGTATTAGATATCAATTCATCGTCCGGGATGCATGATTTAGGCTCTATAAAATGGGAGTTGGCTCTTTGTCTCTTACTCTCTTGGGCCATCGTATTTTTGACTCTTTCTAAAGGCATTAGCTCTGCCGGAAAAGTATGCCTATATTTTTAGTTACGCAAAGGCCTTGTTATTTATTATATACATAATTTAATTTAAAAAAGGACACTGTTAACCTAAGTTTTTTTGTTTCATTATTAATCTTGTTTTTATCTGTGGAAACATTTAATAATTATCATAAATTAAGGGAGATTTGAATGATCAGACAAGGGACACAAATATCTTAAAAAAATTTAAAAAGTGATTTTAATGTCGGTTAGGATTAATCTTCTTATGAAATTAATAAATAAATTTGTATGTATTATTATAATATTATACTCATAACGATTTTAGTGTAAGATTTTTTTAATAATAAATAATTGGAATTATTTTATCTTACAAAATTCTATTTTTAAAACTAAACTTGTAATGTAACCTATGAAATTATATTTGATCACCAATTTAATTAGCATCCTCAGCCTCTATAATTAATGACATAACATCTTGTTTTTTTTAAACTAAATTAAATCACCAGATATTATCTAAATATTAATTTTTTAAAATTTTTATTGCAACTTATGATGTAACCAAGAGTAAATTTTTGTACCAATCCCTAAGCCTTACTTAAAATAACATTGATTTATGCCATATTATTATAAAAGTTAATGAAAATATCTTGCATCTATTATTTTCTTCCTGATTTTCTTCAATTAGGGCTAGAAAAATAAATAAATAAAAAAAATTTGTTTTTTAGGTCCGATACCTAACTTATTTTATTAATCATATTTTATGTTATTTCATTTTAACAGGCCATATATTTTACAGCAACTTTTCCTTATGTCATATTAATGATTTTATTGGTTCGGGGTGTGACCCTAGATGGCGCTAAAGAAGGTATCATGTATTTTATCAAGCCACAATGGGGGAAATTGACCGAAATTAAAGTAGATAAATTTTTAATATTACATGGAAATATGAATATTTTGTTGATTATTTAAATTAAGAATTTTCAAAAATAAAATATTTCGGATTAATTTATGTATTCGGATTAGTAATTAAATCAAAATATGAAATCTAAATAAATTAAAATGATTGTTATTAAGTTTTTATTCAAAATATCATGTATGAAAAGAATACCTTATATTTACATAAATTAAATTCGCTCGCCTAAAATAAAATTGACTAGGCAAAGGTACCATATTATTCTAAGAATTCATAAAACATAATAATTTTTAAAGGGATCAGAACTATCTGTGATCATCACGGGTTTTAAAGGGATAACTAAAAAAATTAGGGTTTTAAGTTAAGGAATGATAATACGGTATTATCACGTTTTAATCATGATAAAGAGGAATTTTATTTTACAAAGCGTTTTACGCGCTTTCGTTTTATTTCTTTTTAATTTTATTGTTATTTATTAATTTTCAATGTTATTTTTTTGGCCTTATGAAATAACAATAAGATATGTCTAATATAGGGTATCAATCGATAGTTAATCAAAAGATCTATTCAAATGGAGATCTCTCCCCTTAATGGGTGAGTCTAGGTCTGGAGAGTGAGGAATATTTATATCAAAACAAAATATCGATATGGATATCAAATTATAGCTAATTTTAATATTTTTTGAATGAAAGTCTTCATTCTTGGTCTTTATGGATGGGTATGACTTGGTCTGGGGAGTGGATAGAGGGGGGGGGGAGCAAAAAAATAAACTTTTTGATATAGATATCAAATAAAAGGTAATTAAAAATTTTTTTATAATAATAATCACTCATAGAAGGCGAGTCTAGGTCTTGTGGGGTCAGGAATATTTTTATCAAAACAAAATATCGATATGGGTATCAAATAAAAGCTAATTTTAGTATCTTTTGACTGAAAGTATTCATTTTTTGTCTTGATGGGCATGACTTGGTCTGGGGTGATGCATGGTGGGGGGGGGCAAAAAATAATTTTTATCAAATAAAAGGTAATTAAGATATTTTTTTATTTTAATAATAATAATCACTCATAGAGGGCGGGTAGGTCTTGGGGGAGAATATTTTTTCAACACAAAATATCGATATGTATCAAATAAAAGCCAATTTAAATATCTTTTGATTAGTATTCATTCTTGGTGTTGATAGGCATGAATTGGTCTGGGAGGGTGCATGGTGGTGGGGAGGGGGGTAGAAAAATAATTTTAAATAAAAGGTAATTAAAATATTTTTTATTGTAATAATAATAATCTCATAGAGGGCAGGTTTAAGTCTTGGTGGGTCAGGAATATTTTTATCAACACAAAATATCGATATGGGTAAATAAAAGTTAATTTATATCATTTGATTGAAAGTATTCATTCTTGGTGTTGTTAGGTATGACTTGGTCTGGAGGTTGGATGGTGAGGGGAGGGGGGGGGAAAGATAATTTTTTTTGATATGGGTATCAAATAAAAGGTAATTAAATATTTTTTATTGTAATAATAATAATCCCTCATAACGGGCGGGTCTAGGTCTTGGGGGACAAAAATATTTTTATCAACACAAAATATCAATATGGGTACCAAATAAAACAATTTAAATATCTCTCGACTGTAATAATTATATTCTAAATAGGCGGGAGATTTTAAGTGGTCAGGAATATTTTCATAAACACAAAATATTGATATAGGAATCAAACAAAAGGTATTTGAAATATCTTTTGACTGAAAGTATTTATTATCTTAAAGGGTTGGACTTTATCTGCGAATGGGGGGGGGGGAGGTAAAATTAAAATTCATCAAATAAAAAGTAAATAAAAAACTTTGATTATATTAATATTATCAAGCTAAGTAGGCGTGTTAAGATACCATGAATATTATTATTAACACAAAACATCAATATGTGTATCAAATAAAAGTTAAATAAAACATATTTAGACCTTAATATTAAATATCGCTATAAGCAGGGGTCATATATAGTCAATGCTCTTTAAAAACTCATTATACCTTAATGATAAAATTATTTGCTCGCAACTTAATCTAAATAATTTTTAAATCTAAAATTTTAAACCATCAATTCTCAAATTTAAAAATAACATTATAAATTATTCTTATTACAGTTATAAACTATTATGCTTCTTTACAAGCAAATCATCCCTATTATTATGCTTTATTTCAAACCATAAACATATTTTATTTTATTTGATAATTGAAATTTAAAATATAATTTTGAACAGTTATTTATTATTTACGCAAATAATATTTAAGTGACATTTTTTGGAACAATAAATCCCATTTTTAAAACATTGGCATCTTTTATTGTTGCAACTTTTTTGACAATTGCAAATTGATTTACAGTTAATTACCAGGTGCACTTCTTGATGCTGTTATTATGGAGATGGTCTTATTAGGAATGGTTAAATTGATAAATTTTATTGATTTATGAACGTTCGTTTTTAAAAATGGAGAATCAATATTTCACAAATTAGTTCCAACCCATAGTTTCTCGCCCTCTATTTGGATAATTTCGGCTTCAATATTTTTAGGGCATAGATTTGATCTATCATTTTTATTTATTGGGATCAGTACGTGATCCCAATGGATAATTTTATTTTTGTAAACATTATCTTGCTTATTCCTATCCAGGCGCGTAACCAATGGGGGGGAAAGGGGGAAATTCCCCCCCCCCCATCGCAAATTTGACTATTTTCATAAATATCATTTTAAGCTAATAAAAATTTTATCCCCCCCCCCCAGACCCCCCCCACCAATCAAAATTTTACAAATATTTGAATATCAATTTTCCAACATATTATTCAAAAATATTAATAAAATGTAAAAATATTTAGTCAAAGAGATTGAAATCAAACGATAATTTATAAATAAGGCTGAGCATGAAAAAAAGTAATGTGTCGTTAGCAGCGATATCATTATTGAATTCAATTGATCAATCAGAGTTTATCATTGCTGCTAGTTGCATCAATAAATTATTTTTAGCTCACTACTTTGTAGAAATTTACAAAAACCAAATTTAGATTTGGTTCAAGTTATTGATTTGGCGGAAAATATACATGAACAGGTAGATACAATAAGAATGAATGTAGATAAATATTTTCATAATATTTATCTAGACGTTGAATCGAAGGCTAAATTTTATGATATAATACTAATTAAACCTCGTCTAGCACCTAGGCCATTATTGAGATGAAAATAAATATTGGCTCAACTGAAGAATATTATAAAATATCCATTTTCATCCCATTCTTAGATACTTTTTTATAGCAAATAAAAGTACGGGTTTTAGATAAAAAACAAGTCTTTAGCAATCTTCAAGTTTTATTACCCAAAGATCCTTCTTCATTTTCTAATGCCACTATTGGTAAAATTAAATATTTAGAAAAATTTTATTCCTATGAGATTGATACTGAAATAAATTTAATCAGTGAATTCGAATTGTGGTATAAATATTTATACGTTTAGCTATTTTACCTGAGCATGCTATTGATGCGCTCAATCGGTGTAAAGAAACCTTGGCTCAATTTCCTAATATTTCGAAGTTGTTTTATATTCTTGCATGTTTGCCCATTACAACATGTACGAATGAAAGGACTTTTTCCAACTTGAGAAGGTTGAAAACATATTTACGAAGTACTGAATCTTGGCTAAATGGGTTAGCTCTGTTAAATATACACAGAGATTTGGTTCCAAAGACAAACTAAATAATTAAAAATCTTGTATTTGATAAGAAGTTAAAAAAAAATTGTTAATTTAATTATTTTCTAGTCAATATTATAAACTACTATTAGTATTTTCAATAAAAAAAATTATATTCTACTTATATTGTATGAGAATTTAAGCTGAGGCTAGTTTTTAAAGCAAATTTTATAAAAAAAATGACATTACACTTTATTTCAACTTTACATATAAATAAACCTTTACATTTAAAAAAACTTTATTAAATATAATATACCTAACTTGAAATAATAAAAAAGAGGTTTGTAATATTCTATCCATAAGCACGAATTAGTAAATAATAGTTAAAAATAGAAATATAATATAGCTAAATAAGACCCGGCCAAAAAAATTTCCCCCCCCCCCCTATAAGAAAATCCTGGATACGCCACTGTTCCTATCTATTAAATATGTAATAAACGAAGGCAGTCTAGCTAAAATATTTTCGATGCTATTGCTTATTGAGTTTGTAGTATTTTTATCTCTCCATTATATTGTGTTGCCTATTTTATAGTTCGTTCTCTCCAAAAGAACATATTCAATATTGTAAGATGATTCGTAGGAATTTCCCCTCTTTATTTTGTGAGAAATCACTATACCCTATGATAAAACCTTCAGCCACATCTTACAGCAAAATTTATACCCTGTGTTAATTTTTTTTATCGAGATTAAAATACTTTTTGAATTTTGGAAAAGGAAATTCCATATCATCATTTTACAGGGATATTACTTTGTCGATATCTGTACCAAAATTATCTTCATTATCAATCTCTACTGTCGACATTTAAAAATTTTAATTTTTTTGAAAAATATATTTACAATGCATATTATTAAATGTAAATTTCAAAATAAAATAAAAATATTATGATTTTATAATTAAACTATAAAATTATTATAATAATTTTTTGATATTTTTTTTAGGAGCTAGCCATCGCTCTTTTTATAAAAAAGGTAGCCCGCTAAAGTTTGTTACTAGAAGAAATAGCTATAGAATAAAACGCTACGTTAAGAACCCTGCAATTTAAATATTTCTGGTTCAGGATTGGAACCGAAAAAAGGATTTAAAAAATTGTTTTATCTTTATTCTTTTTTATTTCTTAAAATTCTATCCAAATGGAAATTTTGTTAATATGTTGAGGGTTGGCTACTAAAGAAAGACTAAGTAAGTTATTCTTAACAAGGTTTGTGTTTTGACAGAAAATTTATAAACATCCTAAATCTTAATTTATACTAAGGGAGATTAGGAATAAACGCATAGAAGATTTTGATCAAATAAATTTTATATTATGTAGGCCAACCACAACCATTAACACATTAAATTGCCATCTATCTATAATTTTATGTGAAAGTTAATTTTAATAATATGCAGAATAAATATGTAGAATATATTTATTGATAAATAACGGACTTTCTTATTTGATAACCATATTCAATTTATATATTATGAAAATTTTAATTCTGATCACCTAATTTTTAGACCCGAATATTTACTGCTATTATTATAGTCTTTAGAGATTTCCATCACCTTATATTTGATACTCATATCAAATTATTATTTTTAAACCCTCCCTCCTCCGGACCTAATCCAACCCATTAAAAGACCAAGAGTGAATACTATTATTTTAGTAGAAAAATATTTTAATAGTTTCTATTTTATAGTGATATCTATATTTTGTATTGATAAAAAATTTCCTGCCCTCCAAGACCTAAAGCCCATTTAGAGTTTAATTATTATTACAATAAAAAAATATTTTAATAACCTTTTATTTGATGCCCTTATCAAAAAAATTATATTTGCCCCCCCCCCCCCTGACTATGCACCCTCTCAGACGAATTCATATCCATCAACACCAAGAATGAATACTTTCAATCAAAATATATTTAAATTAGCTTTTATTTGATACTCATATCGTTTGTGTTGATAAAAATATTCCTGACACCCCAAGATTTACACCCGCCCTCTATGAATGATTATTATTATTGCAATTAAAAAATATTTTAATTACCTTATATTTGATAACAAAAAATATTATTTTTTTGTCCTCCCCCTTTATCCATGCTCCAGACCAAGTCATACCCATCAAGACAAAAAATAAATACTTTCAGTCAAAAGATATTTAAATTAGCTTTTATTTGATACCCATATCGATATTTTGTGTTGATAAAAATATTCCTCACCCAGACCTAGACTCGCCCATTAAGGGGGAGAGATTCACCTCCAGTTGAATAGATAATTTGGTTAGCTATAGATTGATACCCAATATTAAACATATCTTATTTCATAAGGCCAAAAAAAATAACATTGAAAAAAAATAACAATAAATTTTTTTAAAAAATAAAGAAAACGCGCGTAGAATGTGTTTTAAATTAAGATACTTCTATATCATGGTTCAAACATGATAATACCGTATAGTTCTTTATCCTTTAAAAAATTGAATTCTTAAAGGGATCCCTTTAAAACCCATGATGATCCGGATAGTTCTGATCCCTTTAAAAATTAAGACATATATATTCTAATTTAGAACCTTAAATAAAGGCAATACATGGTAAGTTTAAAACAATCTACCATTTCCTGTTTAAAATGTTTGCGAAATATAATAATATCAACAAAACAGGCTTCATTTAGCTGATCACTAATTATAACATAATTTTTTGGTAAAACCAAACAATTAAGTTTTCAAATTAGACAAGTATATCAAGTATTTTTTTAAATTGGTTCTTGTTATACTCTTGAAATTTACGAGGATAGGCGATTTTATAAGAGCTTTCATATCTCTTTTAAAAAACATTTAGGTCTGGCGCGAAGCTGCCGGCCAAGTATTCTTCTCACTTAGCGTAGGCTTCGGCGGCATAATAGCGTTCAGTTCTTTTAATGCCTTCGATAACGATTGCCATCGGGATGCTTGGATAGTGAGTGTGGCCGATACCGTTACCAGCTTGTTGTCGGGCCTCGTTATATTTTCCGTGATGGGGTTCATGTCCAAGTACATGGGAGGCACAGACGAGTTCGGCAATTTCACGCCCCTACCTATCACCGAGGTCGTCAAGAGTGGAGGTAATTCGTGGACATAAGAAGAAAATCGATAGGAAAAAAGGAGATGTGACTCATTATTTTCATTATTAAAATGGCGGCTATTATTCATATACACTGATCTTAGACCATTGGAAATAGAGTCGTCTCTTCATTTTTTTGAATACATTTATCTAAATAAAGTATTAGTTATAATTAGTGCTGTAAGTGTTACTTCAAAAAGAAACTCGTTACGTCATAAAAATGTACACTTTACCGTTACTCGTTACCTTGTGAAAAAGTAATGCACGTTACTGAGAAAGTAACGCGTTGTACTCGTAACTAGAAAACTTAAATATTATATATAAAAATTTCCTATATGTAATATAAATAAAATTATATATTATAGAGATTAGATCTTTTTATAATAATATTTTTCCAATATTTGATATAAATAAAATTATACGAAAATAATATATTATGTGATAAGATTAATAAATTTTTTTTAACAACAATTTATTTTCAAAGTTTTGATCAGATAAGTGCTCTAACTGGCGCTGAGGATGGGAGGGTTGTATTATATTCAATAAATAAAATATTAATTGGGCGAACTTATTAAAAACTGAAAAATAATCCTTATTTCGAAGAAAGCTTATTAGATCATCTTCAAAAGAATCTTCATTCAGATCCTCGTCTATTTTTTTCATCTTTATCAGAAAATAATCTGGTATGCGTGTTGTTTTTAAAAAAATCAAAGTCTTTCTTTGTCTATTTTCTCAAAATGGAAATAAATTAAAGCTTTCTACCTTCGTTGTATCCAGAGCCTCTAATTTAAATAGTGGGTAAATTTTTTTAAGTTTTATTATTATAATAGTTATTGTGTGAACCAAATGTTCTAAAATCGAAAGAGCCATAGCAACCGGTTCCATAACTTATAAAATCATATATATTCATATCATATTTTTTGATAAACACAACCATATGATATATTTATGAACGATGTCATCATCTAAAAATCTCTATAATTCAAATTTATCATCGTCAAATTGACTATTCTCCTTTATAAAATTATTTATTTCACGGAGTTATAGAGTTCCATCTTTTATCCTATTTTTTCTTTAAACAGTTTCGAGACTACCCAGGTTTCCAGCGCATGACCAATGGGGGGGGGGTACCCTCATCGCAAATTTGCCTATTTTCGTAAATATAATTTTAAGTTAATATAAATTTAAATTTCTTTCCTACACCCCCCCCCCCCTTTCCTACTCCCCTATCCTCAAAAAATGTATTCAATATACCAGTATGGAAAAATTTGAAAGAAAAATTTTAAAAAAGTGAAAACCCAAGATTATTTCTGTAAAAATCTAATATACCCAAAGGCCTACAATAAGTGGGCCTAAATATCTCCAATAAAATTTATGGGTAAAAAATTCTTCTAATAGTGTTCCCCTCACCTCCCCATCAAAATCCTGGATACGCCTATGCCATATTTATTCAACAATGAGGATATATTCGAGGTGGGATACAATTTTATTTTACCATTAGTTTTCTGTATTGGTGTAAAAAATGTTTCATATTGGGACCAGGCAAGTTAAATCATCTTCATCTGAAGAAATATGTACAATTGACATAATATTCTAATATAAATTAACATATCTGGTTTCAATATTTGCAATAATCTTGAATAAAAATTTAACAACGAAAATTTAAAATAAAAATGATCTGACTTAAAAACCCGGCTTAAATTATTTATAAAATTTAAAAAATAAATAAAAATAATTTTATAATGCAAATGTTTTTTCCATATTTTTTAATATAATCATTAAAGTAACGAGTGACGTTTTGTGTTACCGTTACTCAAAAAAAAATAAACGCGTTACTCGTTGCCACAAGAAAAGATACGAATTGCGTTCCTTTTCTTCAAAAAAGGTAAAGCCGTTATTAACAACGTTACTTTACAGCACTAGTTATAGAATTAAATTGTAGCACATATAATAGTTCCATCAAAAAATAAACCAATTTAATTTAACAATTAAAAAAGGACCGGGTTTAGCGTTCATAGCGTATCCCGAGGCTCTCGCCCGTCTATACAAGCCACAGCTATGGACCGTTATGTTTTTCTCGATGCTTTACATGCTCGGTTTGAATAGTGAGGTGGCTTACATTGAAACTATTCTATCGGCATTACACGATAATTTTCCCAATGTATTTCCCTGGAAATACAAAACATGGACCTGTCTCGGAGCCTGTATCATAGGCTTCTTGTTTGGGCTACCCTGTGTTACACAAGTAAAGTTTGTTACATTTCGCTAATATTACCTTTTATTAAATTAGGTGAATTGCCAATTGTTTTTTACGAAATGGTTGGATTAAAGCATAGATATAAAACTATAAATAATAGATATATTATTGAATTTAAACAAAATTTTAATATTCTAATTTTTAATTATTAAATCAAATTTTGGTTTTTATTAAAATAGAAAATCTTTGAATACTAGCATAGCTCTTATTAGAGGTTTATAATAAAACAGGTAATAAGAAAAGAAGGCTTTTTCGACCATGTAATCATAACCAGGGTTTCGAACCGTTTAGTATAACGGTTCGGTTCGTTCCGGTTTTAGTTTAAAATTTTATAAAGGTTTTGTTCCATTTCGGTTTTTAAAAAAAAATCATTTCGCTTCGGTTTATAATTTATAACGGTTCTTTTCGGTTTGTTCCGGTTTTTATAAATTTAATTTTAAAAAAAATTAATCATTAACCACGTATATATTAATTTTAGAGAAAAATCTTTTTAGTTTATAATTTCTTATTTAATTATCCATGATAATCTAATAGATATTTTTATTAAATTTAGGAAATATAAATTAGACAAATTAGTTTTTTTTTATTTTATAAATAAATAAGATAAAAACAAACATGCGTAAATACAATAATGAATAAAATAATATGTATACTATACTATTTAGGTTTAAAAAGAGAATTCGAACGGATAACTAAAATATTTTCTAATATTTCAGGATTTAATTTAGTTCTCTGGGCAGAGAGTATAAACTTAAGGCTTGAAAATGCTCTTTCTACGGAGACCTGCGTAGCTGGAACTGCTAGCACAGTTATAGCTAACTTATAAAGTTCTGGCATACTATTCTTTACATTTTCCCAATAATTCAAAAGATTAGTATCTTTTTCTAATCTCTCTATATTATCAAATGACCGAATTATATATTCTATTTCTATACATACATTTATTATAATTTTCGATGCCCTGAGAATTATTCTTATTAAGACTTTCATGCGACTTTAATAAATCTTCAAAATCATCATCTAAATTATCCTTCGAATACGAACACGTAGGCATAGTATTTAGAATTTAAATATTCTGATTATTTAGATTTTGTATCAAGTTCCAAGTTTTACAAAGATGTTTTCTGGCGATCTCTCTTTCTTCAAAAGTTAAAAATACATTATATCTAGGGTCGAGATAAATAGCAGAGCAAAAAACTTCATTTTTGAAATTTATTTCTCGTGCTTTCATCGTAGAAACTAAAAGTCTGGCAAATGGAGTGTCTATTTTACTCGTTTGCATGAGACATTTGATCCACGCAGCATAAAAATCGCCCATTGTCAATTGTTCACTTTGTAAATATTTTGTCAAAACATAAGCTGGATATAAAGCTTTTAATATGTCACTAATTATTTTCCATTCATTCTCTGATAAACATTTTTTCGCGATCGCTTTGGAGCGATATTTCTTGGCAAAAGCTTTTTAACTCTAGTAATCTCTCCAACATTAAATAGATAGAGTTCCATCTTGTGCAACAATCTATTAGTGGTTTTTTCAAATTTAATTTTGAGAAAATAGCCATTGTTGTCTGATTTCTTATTTTTTTGCAGATGTTTCTTGCTTTATTTATAATGACAATTTCATTTGAATTTTTAATGCAATCATTAATTGCTAATTGAAATGTATGTGAAGCACATCTAATACCTATTAATATGGATCTGGCATTTGGTGCAAGATTAATATTTTCAATATTAAAAAGTTCTTTATTTTCATCATGAATTATATCATTATTATTTAAATCGTCAATATCTATATCATTATTATTTAAATCATCATTAATTAAATAATCGTTAAGGTCATCATCTTCTTCATCGTGTAGTATTAATAGCTTAATTAACTTAATCATATTTTCTGCATTATCGGTGGTTATTGTGTAAATCTGCTCAATTTTTATTTCATATTCTTTTAGAACATCTAATATATTTTTTTAATATATTCTGATGTGTGTCGTTCTTTAATCACTTTCATGCATAGAGTCCTTAATTTTATTTTTCCGTTATTTATAAATTGAATATTGATCCCCAATATGGACCTATCATATCTAGTTGCTATATCTAATTTTAACGAATTAAGTTTTTGATATACTTCAGGAAAATTAAAATTTTAAATTTAGGTTAATAATTTAAAATTAATTATTTTTAAAACCGTTTTGAACCGGTTTAAACCGGTTCAAAATATTTATAACGGTTCGGTTCGCTCTTTTAATATTTTCTTCATAACGGTTCGGTTAAGGTTACGGTTCAGAAAATCATAACGGTTCATTCCGGTTTTGCGGTTCGGTTCGGTTCGAACCCCTGTTCATAACATTTTAAATAAAAAATCTTTGATATAAACTGGCGTGCATTACAAAAGTTAAATTTTTTAGTCCATAATTTAAAACCAATGGCTTCTATTAGTGTTGTTAATCGACTAAATTTAGTCGACTAACAGACGACTAACTAATATCGAAAAATTCGACTAAAAACTTTACCGACTAATTTGGTCGACTAAAAACGACTTATTAGTCTACTAAAAACGACTAATTAGTCGACTAAACAGAAGATAAAAAAATAGAAGTAAAGTGAGAATTTGTCATTAAAATAACTATACGAGTCATATATAAGTTGTAAATATTTTTTGAATTTCTTTTTCTTTGAAGGAACAGGTTAAAATTATAAATTGTAAACAAAATTTCAGTGAAAAGTGAAAATTGTCATAATTGTTATTTTTGAACTTTTTTATTTAAAGAGAAATGATGCTAAATTTAAATATATTGTTTATAAATTTAAAATAAACTAAGTAGCATGAATCCTTTCTAAATTATATTAATCAATCTCCTTTAAAATTTAAATGTTTTGTTATATAAATAGTGTACTCTCCTTAGTCCTCTCCTCACTATTAACCTCACCTACCCTTATATTGTGAAATTAATATTGATAAAGTAAAAAAAATTGGAAAAAATATACAAAAAAATTTAAAATAATAATATGGGAGAGAGAGAGAGTCGGGGGAGATATTGGTTATTTAATAATATTAAATTAATATTAAAAATATACAAAAAATTAATGGTGCCAGATAGGCCTAAAATTATTTAATATAAGAAATAAAATCTCAAAATGTGATGAATTATTAAATTTAGGCAAACAAATAAACAAAACAATTTATAAAAATAAGGGAAAATATATGAAAATTTCAGAATATACTATTTTTAAATTAATGCAATCTAGATTTTAAAAACATAATTGAAAAAGTAATCATTTTTGTAAAATTAAGGTATGGTATGGTTATTTATTGAATTAAGTCATAGATATCAATTTTCACGTGGAACCAGATACCGGATTAAAAACAAAAAAAATGAATTAGCAGTTGCAATCATCAGATAAATCAGATGATCGATCATAATCACTATCTAGTTTTGATTTTGAACCTCATTCAATATCAATATTGAAAAAGATATTTTTATATAATTTATTTTCTAAGTTTTCAAATATGTTTTATTTATTTTAAACATTTATAAGTTTTAAAAAAAATCAATTGATAATTAAAAAATATTTATCATATTGATTCCTTAAATAAATTGTAATTTACACCCTTCTTTTGTGATAAAATCTTGACGTGGATGCTATCTATTTCAAAAATTTCATTTATAATTGAATTTTCTTTGCTTTTGGGAAAAAGGGTAAAATTAAACTTTTATCCACATCGATGTTAGTTACATGCAAAAAAATCCAAAAAGTATTTTTAATCTAATTACCTTCTCTCAACAATAATATCCAGAATAGTAATAGGTACTTTAGTATTAAAAATGTTGCATATATTTTTTAATGTTTACCTAATAAATTTTAAATAACTAATAAGAGTTTAAATTTTTAAATCGGGCCGTTAGCACTTTTAAAATTAGATGGAAGGGCGTAGGCTAAAACCCAGCTCGTTTCACCAATTATTCTAAAGATCTTAAAATTAACGATTATATTAATTGTCATATGGCACATCCTCATTTAAATTTTAAATTAACATGTTTACAATTTATTTTACTCAGTTTGTTAAAGTTAAAAAAAATAATGATTATGACAATTGTCACTTTTCAATTGTATGAAAATTTTATTTAACATATAACTATATATATTTTTACCTATTTGTTTTAAAAAAAGTTCAAATATAACAATTATGACAATTGTCACTAATCTATGGTACATCTTCACTGAAATTTAAATATAACATGTTTACAATTTATATTTTTACCCATTAACTTCAAAAAAATTTTAAAAAAAACATAAGAATGACGATTATGACAATTGTCACTTTTCCATGGTCTTCATTGAAATTTTAATATAACATGTTTACGATATATATTTTTACCCATTTGCAAAAAAACTTAAAAATGACGATTATGACAATTGTCACTTTTCTATGGTACATCTTCGCTTAAATTTTATTTTAACATGTTTACAATCTATATTATTATCCTCTTGCATTAAAAAAATTCAAAAACTTTTAAAATGACGATTATGACAATTGTCACTTTTCTATGGTACATCTTCACTGATATTTTAATTTAACATGTTTACAATATATATTTTTACCAATTTGCTTCAAAAAGTTTCAAAATAACTAAAAATGACGATTATGACAATTGTCACTTTTCTATGGTACATCTTCATTGAAATTTTAATCTAACCTGTTAGAATATATATTTTTACCCATTTGCTTTAAAAAATTTCAAAAATGACGATTATGACAATTGTCACTTTTCTATGGTACATTTTCACTGAAATGTTAATTTAACATGTTTACAATATATATTTTCACCAATTTGCTTCAAAAAAACTTAAAAATGACGATTATGACAATTGTCACTTTCCTATGGTACATCTTCGCTTAAATTTTATTTTAACATGTTTACAATCTATATTTTTACACACTTGCGATAATAAAATTTAAAAACTTTTAAAATGACGATTATGACAATTGTCACTTTTCTATGGTACATCTTCGCTTAAATTTTATTTTAACATGTTTACAATGTATATTTTTACCCTCTTGCGTTAAAAAAATTCAAAAACTTTTAAAATGACGATTATGACAATTGTCACTTTTCTATGGTCATCTTCACTGAAATTTTGATTTAACATGTTTACAATATATATATTTATACCTTGCTTTAAAATAATTTAAAAAAGTTCAAAAATAAATTATGACAATTTTCACTTTTCACTGAAATTTTGTTTACAATTTATAATTTTAATCTGTTCCTTCAAAGAAAAAGAAATTCAAAAAATATTAAAAATAACTTATATATGACTCATATAGTTATTTTAGTGACAAATTCTCACTTTACTTCTTTTTGTTTATCTTCTCTGATTAGTCGCTTAAGTTTTTAGTCGATTTCCTCGACTACGACTATTAGTCTTATTCGGAAGAAATCGACTAATTAACAACACTAGCTTCTATAGATCCTATTTAGGCTTACGAAAGATATTATATTTTTTATTCGGGCATGCTCAAATAATCTATTAACAAGCTGATTCATAATTCGTCCTTTACAAAACGAAATAGTTATATTTTATTCTTTACTCATAAAAAATGATAGGGTGGACAATTTGTTGTAAAATTTTTGGATCATTTTGGATCTACATTTATGGTGGTTATGATTGGTGCATTCGAAGTTATTGGAATCATGTGGATATACGGTTAGGTCATTTATATCTAATATTTTATAAATTGGTGGAGTAAAGGGATATAACTGATTATCATTATTTAAATGGCGGCTCTTATGCAAAAAAAATTTAGATTGTAAATTATAAAACTTTTTATATATAAAAAATGATAGTGTTTTTATTTAAGGTTATAATAGATTTTTGGATGACATGCAAACCATGATGGGTAAAAGAATTCCTTTACTGTATTATTGGTTGTTTACCTGGGTTTTCGCCGCACCAATCATGTTAATGGTACATTAACCTTTTAACTTTTATTATTGCTGTAAAAATATTTTTTTAAATCGTGTTAGTCCATTTCCATACAGAACGTTTTTTCAAAGCGGTTTTTGGGTAATGTTATCAGCTTTCCAAAAAAAAACTAACTTGTCGAATTAATTTTTTTATATTTAAAAAAAAACAATCCCGATCCCTATTTTTTTTATCGTAAATAGAAAACAAACTAGTTTGATATTAATAACGATTAAATGGCCTCTTGAAATATGGCTCCGGAATGTTATTTTTAAATATTATATATAAATAATTAATTCGTTAGTGTTTTTTTAGAAAGCTGGTAACATTACCCAAAAACTGCTTTGAAAAAACGTTCTGTCTGGAAATGGCCTTAGTCGTTTATTGGATGGCAAAAAATCGAAGTTTCGCATCAAAAGTCATTTTCAAAAAGGAACGTGTTTTTTTTAAAAAATACATTTAATATTTAAAATGAATTATATAATACTTATGCGTTGTATTTTTTTATTTTGTAATAGATAAAATGATAAAATAATATATATATTTATGTTAATTAAATTAATTTTTAATAAGATTTTTTTTAAAAATTTTTATCCGATAAGCAAGAACGTTTGAATTTACTACTCTAAAAACACCTTCTACCGGAGCTAAGGATGGTATTGTATAGTGTTTGATGAATAAAGGACCTATTTATTGTTTATTGAAATTTAATGTTTTATCTTTTGCTTGAAACGAACGATCATCGTCCTAATTTTTCATGAATTCTTTGTTTGAAAAAAGAGTTTTCGATTCTGTTCTAAAGCATCTACATATTTTTGTTTTCTACGAGTTCCTTTAAATGTGATACTAATTTATTAATCGTTTTATTCTGCGAATAACTTATCATCCGGTTTTTAATTACAGGATATATTATTGAGGAAATTTGATAATGATGAGGTATTTTTATTAATCCCCTCTATTAGCTCATCTATTGATGGTTGACTGACAATAAGTTAAACATATATTTTTTTGAGTAATAATAGGTGTCAAATGTCAGAAATGCATGTTATCTTCACTTTCTAATTTAAAAATGTGGTGGCTATTGGCTCATGATCTGATACAATATTTTTTTGTAATTTATTCTAACGAAATAATTGAAATACTTATTGTACCTGGCCTTCGAAAATAAAACATAATAAGATTTTAAAAAAATTCAGATTTTGATTAAAAAACAAATAGGTTACAATTTTTTTTAAATAAAAATTTTGATTTTTTTTGAGAATATTTTTGAATAAAAATTTGAACTTTTTAAATTGAATGAACTAAAAATATTCGAAAAAAAATTGCCTTCACATTCAAATTTGTCTAAAAAAGGAAGATCGCATACCTGGGTTTTTTCAATAAAAAGGTATTAACGAACGCATGATTGCGCTCGTTTACATGACTAACTTCTAACGTAAACGACAAAGGAAGACAAGAAGGAAAGAGAGAGGGAAAGAAATATAGTAAGTATAAGAAGTGGTATCTAATATATTTTAATAAAGTTATATATTAGCTCCTTATGAAAATATCACGAATGATAAAAAATAAACCATTTTTTTGACAGGTAATATTTATCGTATCAATAGCCGACAGTCACCATCTCGAATATCAAAATTACATATACGATCTTAAATTTCACATTATAGGCTGGATTATAGTGATTGTGGGTTTGGGTCAAATCCCCTTATGGGCAGTTATTAACATAACCAAACAACCCGGTCCATGGAGAAAAGTTTGTTGCTTTTTATTGTCATATTGCTTATTATATTATCAATGAACTTCCTTAAATAAATTTAAAAAAAAAATGGTTTTCATAAACAGTCTTTTTTGAATATTTCTGAAAATTGAATTGATGAGATAAAATAAAATGCCATTTTGTTTTTTTATTCTACCAGTAGGTTTACAACTCAACAGTAATATTCATCAATTACACACTTATATTTTACAAGATGAAAATAAATATTCCATAAAATTTGTTTTAAGCTTAAAAAATTTTAATATTCATCAATTTTATAAACTATTAAATATTTCATTCCGATAAATCTTAAAATACATAATTTTTTATTATAAAAACCAAACGAATCTAGAAATTTAGGAGAGCTCGACATCCGGGCCCGGATATGTCCCACGTGCACACCGTAACCAGAGATTTATTCGCTGTTCAAAGTCAGGGAAGTATGAACAATAGCAACATTTTACTGCAAAATCTTTCCAATTAAATACCAAAATCAATTAATTCCAGTCCTCCCGTTTTTGCATATCCCAAACCTTCTATCATCCAAATTTTTTTTTAATCAGTGCTTTAATATATATATATAACAGTTGACAAAATATTTATTCATTTTTTTAAGAAAAAGTTCTTATTTTTCAATACCACATTGACCATTATATTTAAATGCAATTTTTAACCTTTTTTAGGAGAGATTTTTTGTCTTTATTATAAATTGGTGGAAAATAATGGTAAATTATTCATATTTTTATAATACAATGATATTAAGGAAGATTTCTTGATTTAACTTTCGATACCAAATTGGGACATTGGTATTTAAATATTTTTCCACCACTAAGTGGAATATAATAACTGTCTTTAATTATATAATAAAATAATTATTAAATTTAAGGGTATTTATGGAAAATGGGTTGACTTTTTATTCAATTATAAAAATATAAAAACAATGTCTATAATTATTTTTGTAATTTGATTCTCCCAATTTTATGTCTAATCAATTTTATAAGCAATATATATATGTTTCATAAGTAATAATTATAATAACAATACCGAAAATATTTTTTTACTATTGGAACATTTACATACACTAATCATCGATAATTTTTTTATATCTGTTATATCTAATGTAATTTATATTTTCGGTATGCGATTTTTTTGCATACACAAAAAAGGTAAATATAAATTCTTAAACCAATTTTTAACAATAGTGTTTTCTTAAAATCTAATTCGTTATCAACTTGTAACATTATATGGTTGGTAAGTGACAAGTTACCTGCACACGCTCAACTCAAAACGTTACTTAATTTTCATCTTGCAAATTTGTTAGTGCTAAGGAATTGTCGTGTCCTTCATCCAGTTTCTTAGGTTCACTATCATATGCGGATTTATGTCTGATTTCATCAAAGGACGGGGTAGATTTTATCGCATTATGAAATTTCTAGATTTCGTTTAAATATATTTGACTTAAAGTTTGAGTTTAATATATTTTAACTTCTTTGAAAGAGTTTCCGGTGATTTGTTTCATGCGCACATATGCCCATATGGGGATTTGAAGAATAATGAGACAAAATAAGCTATAACCAATAAGCTGAGCCCATACTGGAAAAACATAATCTCCCGATTTCAATCTTCGTTCAATAAATATGCTTTGCACAAAATATGCCCCACACACAAACTAATTTTATATAAAAATTTATATTTATACTCATTTTACTATTAATCCACTTGGTGCGAGATATGCCCATGATATTTGCCAATATTTCTTGTATGGTAATTCATATCCCAGCATATAAGATATATCTTTGGTAAATTTTTCATATCCTACAAAATATAAATAATAAAAAATGCAAATAATCAATAACTATTTGCATAATGTCTTATTATTTAAACGAATTTGGGGAGGCCGGGGCGAAATAGAATATAGGGCACGTCAGTACATATTTCTATTTAAAAATATCGAAGTTTAGAAGGTGAAATTCGGTTTCATTGAATATTATGATAAGCATCTCACATTTAATTATAATGTGTTAAGTTATAACATTTTTATTTCTTTTGATTTTTCAAAACAAACGAGGTAAATGAATCTTGAACCCTCTATCACATAATAATATTTTATATCATGATTACAATAAAACCTATTAAATAGTAGCTTTTCTATTAAGTAAGCCGAAAGAAGGACACATACAAAAATCAGCTTATTCAATCAAAAAAAGAAAAATTCTAATCAAAAAAAGAAAAATTCTAATCAAAAATGAAAGACCCGCTCGAAAAAGGAAAGAGACTGTTAGGGCTAGATCAGAAGGAAAGTACCAAAGGGTGCCATAGGAAAGGAAAACGGGTCAATTAAATAAGGAAACATCGATATCTTGCCGTTATTTATTTTTTAGATTTTCTTTTCAAATTATACTTGATGCTATATAATAATGGAAAAATAATCCACACTAATATGTTAATTATGATGGCATGTTTTAAAAAACATATGATATAAATTTATAAATGATCCTTTGTGTTAAAATCAAAAGTGTCCCAATGCGCTCTCTTACTTTTGTTTTTAGCATGTTTTGATTTGCCTCACTTATTTACCGTTACTAAAATTTAAGTATAAATTAATTCTAGAAATGTTTGATAAAACTTATAATGATAAAAATACCGTCTGAAATATTAGTCGATCATTTTATATGTTTTTTAAATTTTATAAAAAAATTACGAATCAATTTCGATGAGTCCCGGTTTCCTCTTCAAATGTTTAAAGTTAAATAACAGCATTTTTTTAAAGTTTATGTTGAAGCAACTTTAACTTATAATCAAATCATAAACAATTCAATAAATGGCTTAGCCATAATTTTTCCATGGGGGGAGGGGAAATTTTTGGGTACTGCCCCTAGTTTTGCCCGGCCCATCAAAATTGTCTGTTCTCGTATTTATCATTTAAGCCAACAAAAAATTTTGCCTCCTACACCCCCTCTCCCTCAAAAAATGTATACAATATATCACTAGAGAGGAATTTGAAAGAAAAATTAGTTAAAGCTAATTACTTTTCAAAATAATGACTAATTCAAAATTTTTAGAAAAAACGCAAATACAAAATCCTATATAATTGGACTATATTTTAAATTTATTACACTTTATTTATCTTGTGAAAAATTTTTGTTAAAATTTTAATGAATTGGGAACCATGAATAATAAATAATTACCACTCTTAGTAATATTTTAATTAGAGACGCTAAAATGAGAACTTAAAATATAACACTATATATAATAATACCGTATAACCACATTATGGTCAGTGTTTCACAAATACCTACAATAACACAACATATATTTGCAGCATAATGATCCATAATGTCCAAAACATACATGCCACCCTATAATACAATTTTAACATAGATCGAAATAGGATTTTTATATCTTCTAGATTCATGGAAGTTTATTAATTTGTTGAATATCCATCAAATTCGAATAAAAAGTATGCTATATTAGCTCAAAATTTACTAATAAAAATTTTATTGCATGGGGGAATAGTTATTTTATCGCTTTTAAATATCTATATATATTGATGGGTTTAAAAACTGAGTTATTTGCAAATCTCTAAAATTTTAATCATTTATCGTGGGCATTTTTAAAATTTGAAAAACCTGATTCCAATGTATTAGAATTGTTGACATGAATTTTTAAATATCGATTTTTTTTATAAATTTAAGAATACACAAAAATTAATTGCGAAATTATACTGAACTCTAAGACAATTCTGCTGTAGATGGGGGGGGGGGTGCAAGAGCGTCATTAAAATTAAAGGGTTTAAGATGTGTGAAGATGATCGACATTAGAATAAATGAGAAAGTGGAGGAATTCTTATTTGTTAATTATAATTAAAATAACTTTGTAATACAAACATAAAATGAGGGAGAATTTAAAATTTAATTGTTGGGGAATTGCCCTTCAAATAATGAATGAGTAAAAATGAAGCTGCTCCTCAATTTTGAATTTCTATTTTCAGTAAAATAGAACCCGTCCTGTGGTTCTGATTTGACGGAGATATATGCCCAGTCTTAAATGAAATGGAAGCCAAGAGAACTAAAATTGATGAGAGCCGAGGTAGCAACTGGGGAAGCAATTGGGTTTGCAAAATCCATCTTTTATGCATGTTAAAAAAATTGATTTTGCAATCCCAATCGATTTTATTTTGACTTTGAATAAGAAATTCAGCAGTTCTGTGAAGTAGAGTAAGGATGAGGTAATAATAGTTCAGAAAGTAATTAATTTGTCTATTTTCCTATAAAAATTTCAATTGCAATAAGTCGTATGCCTTTGTATGAAAGCAATATAATAGGCACGGGTTTATGGAAATTTTGATTTTTTTTTTCTAATTTTGATCTGATTTCCTTTTTTTGCTAGTTTTGATTTTACTTTTTTTTATTCATATGGGTAGAGGTAGGGAATATAATTGCATTAGGGGGAAGGGGTAGAAGTACCTAAGTCTTCTAAATATGATGAAATACTCCGGCTAAATTAAATCTTTTAAAATTAAAAAACGCTTTACAAATAATATAATTTTAAAACGGTCTAAATCCTTGAATTTGCTAAACTCGCACGTTATTTAATATCATAACTAAAAACTCAAACTCCAATAATTAAAAGGCGATATATAATATTTAAAAAATCTCAATATTACCCTTGTTACGCAAGGAAATCCTAAAATAAAGAACATGAAGCATAATGTCCCACATACTAATGATTTGTTCTTTCTTGGGAATTTTTTAGGAAATTGATCGTGGAGGGCCGCTTGAACCGTTTCTATAAACGTTATTTGGCTATCAATGCCCAAAGTATATAACATTATAAAGAAAATGAAACTCCAAAACTGAGGCAGAGGTAGTTGCGAAAGAGCTTCAGGATAAACGATGAACGCTAAACCAGTACCTAATTAATATTATATTTCTATTGATGAAAATTTTTTATAATAATTTTTTACCGCCAGCGACAACTTTATCGAGAGTTGTATGCTTTAAATTTGACATGAACCCAAGAACAGAAAATATTACAAACCCTGCCATGAGACTCGTGCCAGTGTCCAATAAACTTACTAAGATAGAATCCTTGTAACAGTTATTATTGAAAGGGATATAACTAGCTAAAGTCATGAGTCCTCCCATTGTTACGCTCAATGAGAAAAACATTTGACCAAGAGCTTTTTGCCATACCTATAAAATTTTAGGAAATATTTATTCAGAAAATATTTTTACGGTGGGATTAAGTAACTTTTTGAATTCTGGATAAAGGAAGTATGATATACCTTCCATAGATCCTTCTAGTGTTACTCCCTTAACCAATAAAATTGTCAGTATGAAATATGGCAAAGTAGCAGTCACGTAGACAACCTAACGTTTTTATTTTCAGATTATATGTTTTTATAATTTATAATTGTGCATAGTGACGTAATAACTTCCGCAGAACTCATTAGTGCGCTATTTATGTAATTTAAAACTATGATTATTTTATAAGAATTAAATTTTTTTATATAAAAATAATCAGGTGAGTTCCAACTCTAGTTGTTACGCCATTGATGATTAAACAATATCTGTGATAACAGAATTTCTTAGTACTTTCCCAGTAATTTGTATTCCTTTAAATAATATAAAAAACACGATGAGCCAAGATATCGACAACCATATTAGTATGTCCATTTTAATCATGCCGATGTCACCAATACCGGTCGATTTATAAATTTCTAATACTTTGCGCCTAATAGATAATAAAACAGACAAAAAAAATTATTTGCAAATACTCCCAATATTCTTCTGTAGGAGTCGTAGAATTTTCAGGCCTAGATGTATTGGGATATGAATAATTAAATTCGACACAATTTAAGGTATTAAAACTCTGAATGAAAGATATAATCTTAATAAAATAATTCCAATTAGTTACGTTTCCACAATGAGACCAAGGCAATTTCTTTTGAAATGAAGCAAAGCTATAATATAAAGTAAAAACCATTATAACATTATAATAAATGGCCATGTTGATTGAAATTAGAAGCATAGAATATCCGCAGCCTAATATAATTAATAAAATTATTTATGCTTTGTAAAACCTTTCCTAAATATTATAAAACCTTTTGCAATGGGAACAAGGTTAAAACATCCAGGTGGTCCCTGCCTAGTAAATTGACCCATAGCGAGCTCCATGAGATACATAGGTATACCAATTGTTAAGAGCATAATAAGATAAGGGATCAGAAAAGCACCTATTGAATAAAATTTTACTACTGTAAATGAGAAATCCAAAAATATTTATTATTAAAATTTATAAACATATTATATTATTTGAATATTAATTTCTTTACCCATAAAATATAAGTTTTCTAAAATAATATAATTGAATAACCTCTATTATTTCATTAAAACGGATATTTCAAAAACCAATAAATACAACAATTCGAATAATTTTTTTTCAGGAAGTCAGATTAGAGGTCTAAATTGAGCTGATTATAATAGGTACACCAGGCCCGCTTATCTTAAATCTGTTCATAGACCTTTCGAGGTTCTGTTTAGGTGAACAAAATGTTGACAAATTAGGTAAACGTCACCTAACAAGGAATTTTTTTTAATAATGTACAAAAAAACAAATGTTTAAAGAAAAGGTAAAAAAAAAATTTATTTTGTGTATAAAGGAAATTTTTTCAGATATTATGAAAACGATATTTTAAAATTATGATTTATAAATAATAATTTTCCCATAGTTGAAAGTATTAGATATCCAAATATCCTTTTTATTCCCATGAAGAATCTGGCCACATTTTTTCCGAAATTGTATCTTATTGATATAACATGTAGCATAGAAACTATAATGGACGAAGACCTGATTTTACCACCGTAAATGGATTCCAGCATTATTTTATGAATTGTAAATCTTATCGTTAACCTTTAATTCAATTATAATTTATATAAAATATCTATGGAAAACTAATATAAAAGTTCAATAGCAAAATTGTTTAAAATTCATAGGGCAGGTATTCCAAACAGGGTGAAATACATTTCCGGTAAAAGCAGATTTTTAAATTTAAAAAACGCATTTGAAAAAATAACACATTGCAGCTAACATTGTGAATTTAAAATTTATTAATAATTTACCAACGATAAATAAAACTTTTTTTAAAAATTTTGAATAAATAGTCCTTATTTTAAAAATGTTAACTCTACTTATTTTTTTTCAAATTATTGAATGGCTGGACAATTTATGAATAAAATATTAGGCAGGGCCCGAAAATCTCTGATTTTTAGTAAAACTTTAATAGGCCAGCCTGGGAATTACCTTTTTTTATATTTTTATTAATATATTATTTGAAAGTAAATTACAATAGGCGTATTTCTTATTTTAAGAGCTGTCTAATTGAAATACTATATCTATAAATAATATAGTAAATTAACAAAAAATTAACACAATTACAAGTGCACAATACAGATATAAACATAATTAATTTATAAAAGAGTGGATAGTAATAGATGGTCATATACGATAGATATAAGAGCCTTAATTAACATTGGGGGAAAATTAGATGTTGATATTAAAAATGTGATGGCCGGCAAATTCCTACAAAAAAATTTACCGGGCGTGGCCTGATGTAAAATTTGGATACACAGACATTCAATATGCAGGGACTTCTATGCCCCCCTAAACCAAGGATGATTTGCCCTTACTCCCTTCTATCTTCTTATTACCCCCATACCAAATCAATAAAGGAAATTCCAAAATTAGAAAAAAGGAAATCTAAATTTAAATTAGTAAAAAAAGAAAGAAATAAACCTAAATGAAAACTATCTCCTACCTTCTCCTCAACAAGGAAGGGTGGTATCCCCACACTCAAAAATTTGCCTGTTTTATTAATATCATTTTAAGCTAATTAAATCACCCTACATACCCCCCCCCCTTCCAATGTATCAAAGCCTGCCCAAATTAATTTGCCTAATTAAAAATAGTAATGCAAAAGTTAATTACTTACTAATGTATAAAGTAATAGGGGTTAGTCTACTCATATTTTTATTATTTTCTATGTCAGGATTTCCTCCCTCACATTTTTTTGATGAAGTTGATAGTAAAAAAAAGTTTTAAAACTTTGGTTAAAAAATTTTGCACAATTTGTTTAGCTTGACCCGAAAATCTTTAGAGCCAGGTCTATACGGAATTTTTTAACCGTTTTCCTCAAAAACCAAGGTGATATATATTATACAAATCTTTATTGCGTGACTTCTAGTTGAGCTATAAACTTCAACAAATTTTATTTTATAGCTAAACTCGGCCCGCGCCCCAAAGACTCATACCCGGCAAAGACTAGAACGACTGTTCCGGGCCTTTGTTTTCAAAAAAAAATTTAGTAGGCTTGGGCCGAACTTGGGTCTAAAAATTTTTCATTTAAATTTAATTTATTTAAATGTGCTAACTTAAAAAAATATTGAAAATTTTTTCTTCTATTAATAATAAATTTCAGTATTGCAAACAAAATGATTGCCTAAATACACTGAAATATTGATTATTTTCATTTAATACAATTAATTAAATTTTTAGATATGGGCTTGGGGAATTTTAAACTTATTTTGGGTGATTTTTTTCTAAATATTAAATATAGACAAGGCCTACAAATTTTTTTAAACGGGCTTGGGCGGGTCAAGGCTCATGAAGGTCTCTGACACATATGCACCTTAATATATTTTACTAAAAATAGAGTGATTTTTATAATTTTTGGATAAAAATGCTTTTTTGGCATATTTTAAACCAAAAAGATTTTCAAAAGCTGAACATAGGTAAGATATTAGATATAAAATACAGTTCACGCCAAATTTAGGGTATAACAATCCGGATGTTAAGAAAAGGAGATAAGATTGAAAAATATATGGGTTAGGGTAAATATATAGACCAAGTGGGACCTCTAAAAATAACTTCAAGCGAGGTTAGGGTTAAGGTTTGTAGGTTAACAAGACATGTAAAAAATATTTAAAAAAAGATATTAGATCTGTTAAATATAAGATTAAATATTGAAAATTGGGTTCCCGAATCCGATTCCCGAAACCTGGTCTGGAAATTTTTAAAACCTTACCTGTTTATTTTTATGCAAGGTTTAGAGGTCGGCGAGCCCGTAAAAATATTTTGCAAAATTTGTCCTGCTCAACGTGTATTTTACCCTGCGCAAAATAATTTTGCACAATAAAGGAAAGCATAAATATATAATTCTCAAATATTAAAATCTATACCATTATAAAAAAATATTTTGAGCAAAAAGGAACATTAATAAATAATTTATGTTATTTAGAAATAAAATTTTAAAAATAGTTACAAAGAAGAATAATTGAAATGTAAAATGAGCCTAAAATGGGCACACTCAAGATGTGCTATTTTTGATTTAAAAAATTTACGTTCCTGTTTTGTATAGATTAGTTTATTCATCCATATTTGGTTAAAACAATGTTATTTTCTATTATATTTTAACCATATACTACCCTAAAGCTTAGCCCCATTTCACATTGGATATGTGTTAAAATTTCACAAAGTTAATCCTAGCTCCTAAAGTATCATAGGTGGAGAGCTTCACTTTTTTTTTATTTTAGTTTTTGAAAAAAATATTTTAAATTTCACCAAATGTATTTTTGTTGCCTATCAATATTATGAAAATGAAATTGAAAGATTTATAATAAGATAAAAATGTAACCTCCTCCATTTTCATAACACACTGTTGGGAAGCGCCAGACATTCCCTATTCCAACGGAACAGCCTATGCATGCCAGAATGAATTCTAAATGACTGCTCCATTTTTGTCTACCGAAATAAGTATTTTCCTCTACCTTTTGATTTGGTAATATACAAATTATATACAATAAATTAATTGATTAACTAGAATTTGGGACTTTATCTCCTCCTTCACAAATAAGTTTCGTAACTTTTTGAGGACTAATGCCATGCAATAAATGACAAGACTATTAAACATATAAGAGACATATTATATTGTACACAAATAACGTCTAACGTTTCTTTTAGAATAATTCTATTTATTTTTATTATCATAATAAATGGCAAAGAGTTTAATTATTATAGAGAAATAATTGAAAAGTTTATTAAAGTAGCTCATGCTAAGTAGAAGTAGAACGCTAAAGTGGCGATCGGTAGCAACGCTACTTTTATATATGAAAAAAAGTAGCTAATTAATAGCGCCGGAATTTATTTCAAGTAGCTGTAGCTTAAAAAATAAATGATTATTTAGCTAATTTAAAAAAATAATTAATTAATAATTTAAAATGATGAATAGAACCAATTTTTATTATTTTATTTATTTTTTAATATTAGCATTCATTTTTTCGGGTGGTAAGCTCTATTGTTGTGTAATCGGTTAATTTTAGCCGATTCCAAGACGGCTCAGCCGAGTTTTTAGATAAAAAATTGACTGCTAATTAGGCTTAGTTCAAAATGGGGTTAAATCTAATTTGTCAAAAATTAGGCATTAGCTAAGGAGTTCGGCTAATCGTCCGTCAGCGTTACTATCACTTTACGCAGTAAATATAAGTAATTATATAAAAATAATTTTAATAAATATAATAGGTATTAAACTAGGCCTAGTGCTGTGTAACGCTCACAGAGAATTAGCCGAACTCCAGAATGGATGCTTAATTTTTGACCAGTTAGTTATGGCCGATTTTCCGGCTAAGCTTAATTCGGTTTCGCCGATTTTTAGGCTAGTGTTCTCAAATTTTTTGATGATATTTCAAATGAGGATTATAAAACAATCATAAATAATATTGATAATAGAATAAATTTGTGCGATCATCTTTATCAGATCACACAATATTTAAAGATTTCCTTCTTTAAAACTGCTCTTCATAAAATAAAATGCCCTCTATCCCTCTAGATCTCCTGTTGAAATATTATTTAGTCTAGCAAAAGATGTTTTTAGCGAAAAATGATGTTTTTGCTAGATGAACTTTGAGAGACATCTTCTCTTTAAAGCAAAACAAAATATATTAATTAAAATTAGATATAACTAAAATATTATTTAATTATAAAAAATATTTTATTATGTGAAATTATTGTTACATTTCAAATTTCAATAAAAATTTTATTTATTATAATAAAAATATATATATAAGGGAGAAAAAAATTTGGGTTATGTTTTAAAATAGCTACTAAAATAGCTACACTATATTAAAAATATAAGTTATAGCATGTTTTTTAGAAATAGTTAATTAAGAACGAAGCTGCTTTTTTAGATATGTCGTAGAGCGTTACCCTTTTAAAGTATCGTTAGCAGCATTGTTATTCAATTATTGACAAGTTATAATAAGGATACCAATGAAGAGCACAATATAATTTATAAATTACTTCTTTTCCATTTTCCAACCAAGGAAATTGATTATTAATTTTTTTATTTCTTTTATAAAAACCAATTGAATTAAGCAGATTTCTGAAAATAAGTTTAACAATATTATGTGCTGTGTAATGCTGATGATATGTTTTTTACATAATATCCAAAATAAATTTTCAGAAAATTTGTTAAAGGATGAAATTTAAGTATATCAATTTTTTATAGGAATTTATGGAAAATACATTTACCGATGGATAAAATTAGAACATTGGGAAGTTATAAATATAGTAGCCGATAAATTTAAGATCATAATATTGATATAGTATTAAGGGTTTGTCCTGGTTCGACTTATTACTAAACAGCTGGCTGCCGGAAAAATTTTTTAAAAGAACTAAATTAAAAATACAAAAAAAACGAGAAAATAAATATGAAAACAATGCATCCAAATATTTAAAACAAACTAAAAGCTGTTTATATAAGCTAAATACCATTAAGTATCAAAATTAAGTCGAAGGCATTTATTATTATTTTTTTCTGAATTTGTCATCACAATCCATTGTTAATGATTACTGCTTTTGGCCTTTTACTTTTTTTTCCATTATTATATATTAAGATGATGCAAATTTATTTAAAATTTACTTATGATACGAATGTGAAATTAAATAATGTTTATTAATTTGTTTGATCAAAATATCAAATATAAATGTATATTATAATTCCTATGATAATTCTGCTCTGGATTAACAAAGGTGAGTTGATACAAATAATTGACACTGTCATCTTGATTTTTTATAATATTCTAATTTCGATTTTGGTCATGGAGTTATGTCATACATTTTTTTTAAACATTCAATAATAAATTCAATGTTTTTTTAATATTTAAAATTATTCATACTAGTGATAGGCCTTTTTTATATTAAGCACGAAATAACCGCGATGTAGGCTAGGCTCAAGATATGTCTGATTTACAAAAACGTAATGTTAAATTATACAGCTATGCCATCATTTAGTGATAAATTACGGATCGCTTGGAAGCATTGCGGTATTTCACGCTTACTATAAAGCCCTTAATTATATTAGATGTTTTTTATGATATGTTCCACAAATTTGATCGAGATGAAGTTTATATACTTTCCCTTTGTAAGTTTTGGAATGACTACTATCATTTCTATAATATTGAAAATATTAATTAAAGGGCCCGAGATAAAGGCCACTCCCCTAATAATTGCATATTATCCGAATTGGGCGAGATGGAGAACTGGCCATTATTCATTCCGATTGAGAGATGTGAATGGCACCTTGATAACACATTTGATATATGCTTTTTTAAAGCCAACATCCAATGGGAAAATAATTATAGAAACCCCGGGTAAAATATGACATTGAAATTTTTATTCTTTTTATTAACTGGTTAAATAATTTACTTTTAGTTATATATATGTTTTTTAAATTATTCTGTTGAAATTTTTAAAAAAATTCTTAAGAGGGAAAATGGAAAACATTTTTAGAGATCATAAATATAATCGTTAGATTCTTTTAACTCATAAATAGCAATGCCTAACTTAAGGATTTTTATAAAAATAACTGTTTTTTCTAGGTATCTTATTAGCATTCTGAAATATATTTTAGAATAAATAATTTAATTAGGATCGATTCGATTTAACTTAAGAAGATGCATTAAGAACAATTAGAATACACTTTATTTCATTTATTATAAAAAAATCATATATAATTGCAATTGTTTATCATCAATTTAAAATTTTTATAAATCGTAGAAGATTTTTTAGATTTGCTACAGTTCAAGGATAAATTTCCGAATGTTAAGATTATTTTGAGTGTCGGTGGAGCCGGGAATTATTCAATTCCATTCAAGTTAATTATTATATATTAAAAAAAACTTATTTCTGATTTTTTTTCCCAAATATTGACACTCTTTAGTGATATAGTTTCTAGCAAAAATAGGATTAACAATTTCGCCGAAAATGCCAAAAATTTACTTTTGAGTAATAATTTCGATGGTTTAGATCTAGATTGGGAATATGCGGGTGTCAATCAAAAGAATGGCTTCATGTTATTAATTAAGGTTTGTAAGTTTTTTAAAAAAAATTTACAACTAAGTTTTTAAAGACTTTAGCTATTAAATTTAAAAGCGATCTAAAAAAACCACTACTCTTATTAGCAGCTGTATCGTCGAGCAGAAATCAAATTATCAAAAGTTACAATATTAGAGAAATGAATAAGTAATATTTGGAGTTAAAAATATATAATTTTATTTTTACTTTGTCAAATTTAGATGTTTTAAAAAAACACCCAAGATCATTTTAAATATGTTCCTGGTGTAATAAAAATACATACAATGTTAACAAGAGAGCATGATGGTGTTGTTAAGTCACTACATTTTAAGCTATTTTTAAGCTACATCAATATCTTAGCCAAAAAATGATTTCCTAAGACCTCTGGATTTCCTCAAAAGATGGGAGTTTACACTTTCTTGGGTAAAATCTCAAAGGCTTTGTTACGCTTGGTAATATTGATTTAGCCGTATTTAAAAATCGTTTAGAATAAGATAATTTAAAATAGTTTTTTCTAAAAATTATTTCGAAGTAAAGTGGAAATCCGAGGTTGTCTGAACGATCTACCAATTTTATCGTTGTTCTGGCGCCTAAAAATGGGTTCATGGTTCTGATCCTAAATTTTAAAGCAATGAAAAAATATATAAGTAAACATCCAATCTAACTCGGGTCGACCGGACGAACATGTCGTTCAGAATTTAAAAGACATTCTTTTGGACTCAATTTTAACTTTGATTTTAAAATTTAGTTCGGACCGGACTTGGACTAAAATTTAAATTATTTTGCTTTCTGTCAAAAAAAAGAGAGTTCAAATGTTAACAATATCAAAAATTACTAAAACTAACGAAATTCTAAAGTAAGAATTAACTCAGAAAGAATAACTAAAGAAAACACGGAACTGAAACTTGGATCTATATCTTTATTAAGTCACAGTAAGTAAACATTCAAAAGTTTATTTAAAATTGAACATCATAAAAATTACAAAGTGATGATCTATAAAAAAAATCAACAATATCTTTTGTTCTCTAATATCGAAAAATGACTGACATTTCTTTAAATATATATATAAATTGATTGACATTCTATTATAAAAGGTATCATTTATGACACTTTCCTTATGTTTTTATAAATTTAAATATTTCCTGCATGAATAACACACATTTTTCTTTTCTTTTTTTACAATCAGCGCTTTTAATTTTTAAAATTATATTTAGAAATGTTAAAATTTTTTAGCAAATCCAATAAAAAAGATTAAATTAAATCGGATCGGATCGGACTATTTCTAAAATAAAAAATTTGGGTCGGATCTGAATTTTTGAGAAAAAAAAATACTCAAGTAAAATCAGTCGGGCAGTGAATTTTTTTCTCGAATCGAGTCGGACTTAAAAATAGGTCTGGCTCAGGGCTCTAAAATAATTAAGATAAATAATACAATATTTAACAATATGCTATATTATATAAATTACTTGCAACTTTAGTTGGAACCGGTTCCCAAAAATTTCCGGTTATTTTGCTTTGTAAATTTGTCCCGTTTTGGAATCCCAGGTTCCGGTTCCAAACTCTGGCTAGATCCCTAAATCGTAAACACCCAAAAAATTATAAAAACATGTAAAATTTTTAAAAGATATTTGGATTACTTCAATTTGATGAGTTATGATTTCCATGGTTCGTGGGGTAATACAGTGAATCACAATAGTCCACTGAGAAGTAACGATATGCTAAGCCTGGTAAGAATATTTCTATATTAAACATAGGCTTGTCCAGGATCTTTCTATTGAGGGGGGGGGGAGTACTTATAGGTGGGAGTTTTTCGCCATAAATTTTATTTGATTGGCAATCTTATATTTTTACAAAAATAATCTTTTGTTCTCACTTCATTTATTTTATAATAAAAATGCTTTTTTCTAAAAAATTTCAATCAGACGATATTTTAATAAATTATTAATTTTTACTTATTTTTCTAAATTATTGTTTCTTGTTATATATTATGTGGGGGGGGGGGGGGTTATTAGCTTGAAAATGATATTTATGAGTACAGGCAAATTTCCGATGAGGAGGGAAATTTCCCACCCATTGGTTACACGCTTTAAATTGTTTATTTATTTACAAAATCTAAATTATTATATCCAGGAATACGCTCTCAATTATTATATATTAAATGGTGCGAGCGTTGATAAAATCAACATAGGGTTAGCTTTTTATGGACGTTCTTTTACACTCAAAGATCCAAACCAAACTAGCCCCGGTTCACCCAGTGTCAAAAAACCTGCACCTTTAGCTGGAAACATAACCTCAGAATCAGGATATTTAGCATATTTTGAGGTTATATTTTTATAATTAAAATGGATAATTATTAGGTAATGAGTTAATATATATGTAATATGTTATGTATTGTATAGCAATTATAATTAATTCATTGTTTGTTGAAAAATATATACATAGAAATTATTAACTAATTACTTATATAATTAAAAAATATTTGAATATGTGATATTATAAATAAAATAAGTATATCATTTAATTATATGGACAGGGGGCTAATTGACGCATTTGTTTTATATTTAAAATTTTGATCTATATGTAATGTGTTTTTAAGATCAAAATAAAAAAATATCAATATGTCATATTACATTGCACTAAAAAATTAACCGTTTTAAATAAAGTTAAAACCCTATTTAAAATCTAAGAAATTTGTTAGAATCATATACAGCCCTACCTCAGTTTCGATTACTAGCTTCTCAAATTCAAAAATAATTATTTTATCTCTTATATAAAAAAAATTACGATTAATAAATATTTAGCAAAGGACAATTTTGTTTCCTACTTGTTGATTTGAGTACTCGGATCACGAGGAAGGGGGGGGGGGGTAAATTATTATACTTTACTTAATTTGAAGTTAATTCTGAGTGCAGAGATCTTCTTGTAATCTTGCCATGTTGGTTAGAGATATTTAAGTCCTTTTGGTTTACCTAGTGCGCCTATATTTTAGTGTTTTATTCAATATCTTTTAAAGAGAATTCAAAAAATATTTTTTTAATAATTTTATAGATGAATATCTGATCAGATGTTTTATTTAGCCATGACGGAATTATAATAAGTATTTTACAGCCTTGTCATTTTGTGATTATGCCAAGCTCAGGCTTTCATACAATGATTTATTTTAGTATTTTTGTATACCATAAGTTTTAATTTTTAAATAAATATTAAAGGATATCAGCAAGGATATGTTATATATAAAAAAAAACAACGAAATAAATGTCAACGATTTTACATGTTTTTCCTATATTACAATTTCATTTTTTTAAAATTATTTTAACCAAAAAACGTTTATTAAAATCTGTTGTCTCAAAATTATGAATAGGGGAGACTGGGGTTAGTCGAACCAATTTTTACAAAATTGGCTATAGCTCTTGTTGTTTTATAGATAATATAAAAAATAATATATGAATGGATACCTAAAACTATACTCTATAAAGGTGCCTTATAAAAAATCTTAAATTTTTTTTAAATATTATATTTTGTAAAAGTGAAAATTTTGTTCAACAAGCTCCAATAGCGGGGTGAGGCAAACCACTTAAAAGGGCTTCCGAAACCATTGGTTTTTTTAGGCCTAATAAATTGAAATGCATTTTTATTTATTAATAATGATATATATGGAATAATTTTATTGTTTTATTGTTCAAAATATCATAATACTTATAAATTGAAGCTAATTACATAAATATTGAAACTTAATTTTGGCTAATTTGATAAACATTTTGGACATAAAAAAATATGAATTTTAAAGAGAGATTAAGATTTCTTAGCATAAATCCTAAATACCAATCATAAACAGACATGAAATTGCCTTTCAAGATTTTGAAATTTTTTATATTATAAATTGCCATAATTGACGTGTATGGTTTAGCAAACCCCGCTAGCTCTAAATTGACAAATCATGATTGAAATAATATCTAGATTTGATAAATACTCATAAAACTTACCCAAATTATAGAAGAATGTTTAAACTTTGTAATATTTAATTTACATATAAATGATTATATATTTTAATTAAAATTAAAATTCTGTCATGTAAAAATATTTTAAAAATTTTAACAAAATTTTATTTCTTAAATAAAATTTTTAGTAATTAATTATTTCAAAATATATTTTGTCCATAGATGTATACTAATGAAAACTATATTAGGATAAAATTTTAACCTTCTGGTGTATTTAATTTTAAAATGAGATTAAGTGGTTTGCCAAGCCCCGGGGTTTACCTAACCCCAGTCTCCCCTACTGCATATTAGTAATTTAATTAACCTTTTGCAAAATTTTTATCACCCCTCTTCCTCCTTTAAAATGAAACCTAATATGCCACCAGGAATATATTATCACCCTCGAAAATTTTATTCTTCCCCTACTCCCCCTCCCCTTCTACCAAACTAAATCAAAAATAATAAAAAAAAGTAAATCAAAATCAAAAAGAAGAAAATCGAAATCAAATCTATTAGTCCATTCAATTTTTATTCAAATAACGGTCTTTACCCCCCCCCCAATTTACATCAATACATTCTATATTTAAACTGGAATGGTTTTGTATAAGGCTTCTACAAAATTCTAAGAATGTAGATAAGGCTGGAAAGGAAACGATTCAGAATAAGAAGTCTTCTTTTAAATCTCGTATTTTTCTTATGATAAATTTGTGGATAATTTAGAAAAGGATTATTTATCGAAATTGCAATTGATATAGAATTAAATTTAATCAAATTTAAATTCTTATTCTAAATGATTTTATATTTTATCAAAATTAAATGAACCCAACGGCAAGCATAAATTTTAAGGTATTTATAATAATTTATATTAAATATTAAATACATTTAAAAAAATAAATATTTCTTATTTTAACTTCAATTTTTTGAATGTTTATTCGTTTTTTTGGATGTTTAAAGCATTAGTATTTCATAATTCCTAATACGATCGTTAGTTGATATATACTATTATGGTTTTCCCCAAAAAATCAATAATTAGCTCGGTTTCTTTCACTGAGGCTCCTACCGAAAGTTATCACTTAGTTTTACTCATAGGATTCTATAATATTTTTTTTAATATGAAAACGTAGATTAAAGATTTAAATTGGACTGAAAAATGGGATGACTTTGCTAAAGTACCCTACACTTTTAAAGGGAGAGATTGGATTAGTTATGATAATCTTAGAAGTTATTCTTATAAGGTATGGATGTTATGATATTTTTTTTAAATAAAACTCTTTCTTTTTTAAATTATAATTTAGATAAAATATTCTTGTTTGAAGAAAGTTCGAGGCTATATGTTGTGGGATATATCAATGGACGATCTAGCCAACAATCTTCTATTCCATATCTACAGCACATCAAAACTGATTTGCGATAAAATTAATCTATTTCCATCCTAAATATTTTGATTTCTACAAAATAACTTTTTATAATTATTATTTTTCTGTTTTTTCTTATTTTGATTATTATTTTTTACAATTTATAATATTAATTCATAAAAATAAAAATGACTGGATGTAAAAATAAAAAATCTGGACCGGGTTAGGCTTAAAAATACTTTGAAAAATTTTAAAGAATAAAATACTATGTCTAAAACATCATAAAATGTAATTCGAAAATACCAAACTACATCGAAAAAACATAAAATAAGCTTTAAATAAAAAAAATGAAAAGGTCAAAACATATTTGTGGTTTTTTTAAATTTTTATAACTTCACATTTATGTGACAAGTTTTGGACGCAAACTTTATCAAAATAGAGTAATTAAAATTTTTCTGATATTAGCACAAAGCAATTAGTGATTTTTATTTTATTCACTTGTAAAAATGTAAATTTATATTTTTCAATAAAAAATTTCAGGCAGTGCCTAAAATAAAAATAAATTTTTGGCCGAGCTCAAAAATTGATAAAAATTTTAGACAGGATAAGAATTAATATTTAAAAAATGTAATTTACAATGGTGCTTCCTAGTCGAGGAGCTATAAGGAGGTGATATATATATCATCACTTTAATAAATAGATTTGTATTCAACAATGGTGGCCATTTATAATCGTCTAAAACGACTTTTATTTTAATTTTGGAGTTGCTCAAAATGGCTGCTAAATTATACAAAAAAACTATCTTGCAAAGCTTTCTTAATTTAAGGTTTACTTCTAAATTTAATTTAAGCTTGTTAGCAACTCTTCGCTAGCCTCTTCTGACCCTGAATAGTTATTGTATGATTATAATAATTCATTTAATGTTCAGTGAGAAATTAAATTAGAAAAAAAATTCAAAGTTTCCTGGGTTGAAAATATTATAAAGGTTCGTTTCAATTCTATCAACTTGGGGTACATCTTAGGGGTTAGGCTAATTTTTATATTTATACTTAATAATATTCACATTAGTCACAAATTTATAACAGTATACTCATTAACCTTATTAATTTTAACAATAAATATAAAATAAATAAAGCATTTTAAATCAATAATATATTTCCCAAGAAAATTCCCATAGTGCAATTGTAAAAAGGCAAAAACGTGTCACTTAATTTTGTTATTATAATAATAAAAAAATGACTTAATAAGCGTCCCTTTTTTTATATTTTTTAAATTATGTACCGATTGTCCAATTTATGACAAATTATTGTATTATATGATTTATTAATTTGCTATAACCTTAATTATAAATATCTTAAGCTTTAGTGGATTTTTTTATAATTGTTTTAAAAATTGAGTGTGGATATTCATCCAACTAAAATAAGCGTCATCTATAACTAACTATATTATATAAGTCTATTAAATTAAATTTTAATCAAAATATTCAATCAAAAAAGATGGGTGTGGGAAATTATATTAATTTTCTTTGGTTTAATTTTTTTTCTTCCTTATATATTCATAAAAATTTATAAACCGCTTTAGAGAGAAATTGTTAAAAAAATATTTTATATTTTAAATCGTGAAAAATTACACTTTATTAACATAATTATGGAGGATATTCAGTCGATTCTTGAAAATGAATATGTCGATATGCAAAGTATTGATAGCCAGTGGGTACCAATTGTTTGCTCAAAAAATAATAAAATCAGGTAAAAAAAATATTTATAAACAAAAAAAATATTAATATATTAAATTAATACATTAAAAGCTGTTGAAATAGAAAGTGTGAGATCAACATTTTTTCCAAATTTTAATCCGACAATAGTGTTTAACTATCTTAACAGGCTAAATGATTTATTTGTTCATAATTTCTAAGAATAAAATTGAAAACATTTGAGAAGAAAAAATTATAATGCAATGTTCCAAATTCTGCCATTATATTTTTATGATTAAAATCATCCCTTGCTTTTAAAGTTCTGAGTTTTACTGGTAATCGAGTCTAAAGACATATTATGGGAAAAAATATTATTAAAATCTAAGCTTTGATTAGGAATCTCAACTTGCCCTAATTTCGTGGTGAATCCATAGAGATATGTTTATTTTGAGATTTGAGGACAAAATTTTAGGAGAAGACTTTAATTTTTAATTAAAAAATTTTATTTTTCTTAAAATTTTGAAGAATTATGTTATAATTAGCTTGAAACTTAATAATTTGAACTTTTAAGGTATGATGAATTTTTTTTTAATTCAAATTTAATTGTAACAAACTAATATAAATACTTAAATTCATTTAGGCAATTTAATCTATAATTTGAATACAATTCAGATTATATTTATTTTTACATTATTTTATTTAAAATCAGAATAAAAACATTTGGTCCATAAGGCTATGCAAATGGTTAGGAGCTTTTCGACTATAATTGTTTTAAAATATTTTTTGAATGGGAGGGGGTATATAAAGCTTTTTCAGTTATATAGTGTTCTATTAAATTAGTTACCAAATTATTTTGATATATCTAAAAAGGAACCTCTAATTATCTTTTGTAAGATAATTACAGTAGAAATAATCATAGACTCGTTTTGTCGAAGAGTATGGTTACCCGTTTTCTGATCCCCTAAGGCCAATAACATCATTAGTAAGGGGAGTATGGGGGGGGGGGGGGTCACAGGAGTTCAAGTCACCTTAAAAATTTGAAGAGCTGAGAATTTCGAAAATTTAAAAAAATAATTTTTGAGCACCCTGAGATTGTAAGGGCCTAGTTACGCCAATGCCAAGCACTAAAGTATTTTCCTAAAAACCATACAGGATCTATTTATATATATATTTAAATATTGTCATTCAGATGTAGGTCTTCAAATCGAATGAAATCATCAGTTCAACCACCTCTAATAATTAAAAAAAAACGAAGAGGGGTATATAAAAATTTAGCATCTTCTAATTTATATCTTTTTTTATATAGTTCATAGAGAAAAAAAGACGCGATAAGATTAACAATAGTTTAGTCGAATTAAAAAGTTTAGTTCCTACAGCCATTGAAATGCAAGGCACCACCAAATTAGAAAAAGCCGAAATTTTACGATTGACTGTGGATTATGTGAAAAACATACAAGACAATGGTTTGAAACTATAAAAAAAATCATATTATAGAATTGAAATTTTATTTCTAAGAAATTCATGTTAAATAGCAATATAACCCATTTATATTACTGAATTTTTTTATTTGTAAAGGAGGTGTGAAAATTGACGAATATCAACAGATTTTGCAATACTCACTCAAAGGTTATAAAGAGTGCACTAACGAAATACGATTGTATGCAAACAAAAAGTGTAAAGTTGATATGAACCCTAATTACATAAAAGAGTTGGTCGAGCATCTCGAATATAAAATTCAACAAAAAGAATATATTCTTAACGCAAAAAATAGTAATACAATGTGTACACAGCGCAAGGTATCAAATACTAAAGTAGAAAACGAAATTAAAAATAACATTCAATTATCGCAAGATCAAACGATATTACAAACATCTTCAAATAAGTCTTCACCAACATCGTGCATCCATATGAACATTGATAATTGTTATGAGGGAAATCCTCAATATTCTATCTTGCCTAACTTTGAAATTAATCATCATAATAATGGTCATCATTTTTCAGAATATCCATGTAAGTCGATAGCAGATGATTCGACCGATTTGAATAGTTATATAAAAGTTGAAAACACCTCCAATATAAATAATTACAGTCAAATACCACAACTTTTGACCTACAACTCAAATTATATACCCAATCAAATTATCAATAATGCCCACGTGCCTGCCCCATTTGGTAATTTATCAATTAATATAAATAATATACCGTATTCAATACAACATCCATCATTTAAAAATGATTCACAATCTGAGAAAAATGAAAATATCTCGAGTTCTACAGTGTTTAATGCCCCAGCTCATTCTCAATATACTTGGGGGCGTGAGTTTGTTTTTTAAACATTATGATTTTTAATGATAAAAACATATTTATAACATGGAAATCAATGTGTATTGATAAATCTAACGAATTTATGAGTCCTATAACATTTTATTGTTATATAAATCGATGGAAAAATTTGGTTCTAATTGTTATTTCATTAAGGTTGTTGCTTCCAATTTATCGCTAAAAATTTTAGTGAATCTCAAAAAAGCTTTAATAAATATATAATTATTTCAAAATAAAATTTATATATCCAGTTTAATTAAAGTTACCATTTTTAAGCTATCTGATTCTGCTCACTATAATTAAGTCTTGCAACTCCGAAACCATAAAAAACCTGCTAAACCGCGACTACATAAAAATATTTGAAAACATCTCGAATCCCCCCCCCCCCCAAAAAAAATATCTACCCCCTTAGAAGTCCATCCTTTAGAAAGTTATATCGAGAGATATGCGTATAGTAGAGAAGACAGTCTGGTTTTCGGTCCGAACCAAACAGATGCATACTGATTGGATCAGGCCATGGTCATTAAATAAAAGACCGATCTCCTAAATAAAAAAATAAGTCCAGGACAGGTCTTTAAATTTTTTTTTTTATTTAAAAAAATTTTCTTTTTTTTGCTTACTATTATTTTATTAAATATAAAAATATTTTATGTTAACAATATCAAATCAGTTATTAATAATATAATAAATAATTTAATTTAAAAATAAATTGTGTTTTTGATAAACTTCGTTTTCCTAGTAGATTGCTTAGTAAAAATCAACTAAAAATGAAGCACAAAAACTACAGTTATTTATCTAGAAAAGTAATAAAATATTCACAAAAATTTACTAAATATTATATGAATTGAATAGTAAAGCACTTTTAAATATTAATAAATGACCATTACGGACCATGTTCCAAACTGGAAATCACTAAATAATCTGCTCGTTCCAGAGTCCCGATCTAAGACCGATAGGATCTGACCGTTGCTCTTCACTGCAATAAAGCATATGGAGTAATTCAGGATATGGAATATTCTTATTTAAATGAATTATAGAGCGTGTTTTTTAATTTTGAAAGATTTCATTTTGTAAAATGTATTGGGTTATTTTTAATTAATATACAAAAATTCCTGTAAAAATAGATTTGGATTAACATTCATTTAAAATTTAAAAGAAAAAAAAATGTATGAAATTCATAGGGTAGCTCCATATATATCGAATAAAATTTCACAAAAAAAAGCCCTCAAAAATTAAAAAACGCATGCTATTTTTTAAATTTTAAAGATTTCTTAATAACTAGTGCAATATCGGATCACACTAAATTTCTCCCTAGTATTTAATTCAACAATATAAGTTTTACTCACGAATGTTGAAATTTCTTTCAATCAAATAATCAAGACATTTTAGGATTTTTATGTAATAAATGAGAATTATGAATTTGAGTTAGTTTATGGATTTAATGCAGATCTACCTTGGATTGTTTTATTTCTGAAAAGTCTATAGAGCTTACTTTAAACGAATAGAAAAAAGAAACTATTTAAATTTAAGAACACTAGTTTTAATTTTCTAAATAGGAAAAAACAAAAAATATAATCAGATATACACTTTACGTTAAAAATTATGGAAATTACTACAAAATAGTAAGTATACGATAAAAAATTTAAATATGGAAACGCTAGAATATCCAATTTTTTTTAAATGTATTTAGCAGCGTTATATTTTTGGCTTGCTATCTTTTAACCTTATGAGTTCGATCGCATTGGTGTTGTCTTAGCTTTAGCCTAAGTTAATGTTATATTTGAATAATATTTTGATTTATTGATAAGTCTAATTAGTAAGAAATGTAATTATATATTTTTTTTTAAAATCTGTATGAATATTATAAATAAAAATTAAGTATATTATGAACTAATATTTTCTATAATAAAATAATTGGGGTGTATTAAAAATAGAATAATTGTAAACACAATATTTATTCATCCATATAACGCATACAAATAAAAGTCAGGATATAAAAATATATAATAGAAGTTTCTATATTCTAATATTCTTGGGGAGTTAAACAATACCATCATACATACTTATATAATCTATATAAAACATATCTAATTACAAATATACTAAATACATATATTTCCATTATATCAATAATAACTCTCTATGTATTATAATGCAATCATACAAGCAATTTAAAGGGTGGAATGGTTAGGTTCTGTATGTATGAGGGCAGGCCTACTCTTGAGTAAATGGTTATTATGACTACTTCCAGACCAATACAGCATTTATTTGTACCGAAAAAAGTTATAAATAGTATTTATTTCAACTGTGACTAATAAATTTTTATTTGACTTAAAGATGTGCTCATTTTTCTCCAAAAATAATTATAGTGAGGCTTTTAATTTGGGATATCATATAGATAATAAATGAATTATATGTTTGAAAGTAACTTGAAAAGTAACCGTTCCAAAAAATGTACCTAATTAAGTGTTTTTATTTGCATTTTTCAAAAGTAATTAGTTTGTTTTTGCAAAATTATTTCCAATAACTTAACTAGTTACATTAACAATAATAATTAAATTCAACTTTTTCCATAGTTTCCTTATTATTTTATTTTCATCAAATTCATTTTTTTTAAACACATGGAATAAATTTTTTTTTCGCCAATCCATAAACCCCAGAACTAACCAGATATCAAGGTGAGTTAGGCTAATTTAAAAAGTAGTTTTAATTTATGTGTATTATAAGTTAATCAATTGAGATTATCATACCATGGTGTAGTATAGACACTTGTATCAAAAAACACAATTGTCTATGTTTTAGCATAACAATTAAATTTCTTACAAAAAAATATATTTATATCATAACAGAACCATATTTTGATTTCTTTAAAAATATGCTATTATTTACTGCCCAATTTTCACTATTTAGATTTATACCTACAAAAATACGAATTCGATTCGAAAATTCGAATCGAATAATGGAATTATTCGTATTCGTTTAAATCGAATAATTTATTATTCGTATTCGTTTAAATCAAATAATTTATTATTCGTATTCGTTTAAATCGAATAATTTATTATTCGTATTCGTATGAATAATAAAATGATTATTCGATTCGAAAATTTTATTTACCATGAATTAAAAAAGATCTATTATAAAATTTATTTTGTAAAATTTAACTAAGGATAAAGACAAACAAATTTTATTAGTGAGACAAAATAGAAGCATACATATATAATATATTTATATACAATGTGAAAAAATCAATATAATATTCATATCTATAATGTAGAAGATAAATCTGACAACAGCCAATTTTTCAAACATAAAGTTTTTCGGATTGTTTCCTCCTTTAACGACATTCTGTATTTTGTAACCATATGAGCTCCAACAGAAAAGAGTCGCTCACATGGGGTTGAAGATCCCTGTATCGACAATATGTCCCTCGCTATTTTAGATAACACGGGAAAACGGTCTCCATGTAGTTTCCACCATTCTAGTGGGTTTTTATTTGACGTTATTCTCACTTCTTTCAAATATGTGTCAATTTCAGAAATTGGCATAACATTCTGTTTAAAAATGACATCCATATTTGATTGTATTAAAGGTTTACTTTTTGATACATCATATTTAATTTTATATTCATCAAACATTTTCTCAAAATTATTAAATATAGTTGTAACGTATGATCTTTTCTCAAAATTATTAAATATAGTTGTAACGTATGGTCTATTATGAGATAAATTAAAATGGAGTTTCAAAATTTGGCGCAATTTTCATTATTCCACTAGGATATAAATTGAAATAATTTCAAATAATTCCTAATAATAATATATGATTTATATATGATTTATATATGATTATTTTCCAATATATATTAATACTATAAATTATTTTAGTCGAATAACCTCTAATAATTCGATCGAATAATAGATAAAAAATTATTCGACGAATAATATATTTTCCTTATTCGAATTCGATTCGAATTTTCGAATCGAATAATTGTGTATATTCGTATTCGTAAAATACGAATCGAATATCGAATAACAAATAATTCGTTTTAGGTATATTTAGATCTAAAATAAAATTAAAAACAATTATGATAAAAAAAGTGGACTCGATGGTTATTAGGTATTATTTTTTTAAAAAAGACCAGCTAGTACTCACTATAAAACAAATCAAAATAGGGTGTCCTAGTTGATATTCTGTATAGACTGGTTTAAACAGAAATAAGTTTTATTTAAAAATAAGACTAAACAAACCAGGATACAGCTTTGGTGCTGTCTACTTAATTCTTTTTACATTATGTCATGTTATTAAAGATTGAAATCAGGAAGCAATTTAGGACATACACATTAGTATTTTTATCCTTTAGACTGGAGGTTTTCCGAATAGATAAAAAGATTTCCCGACAAGGCTACGTGTAGTGTTGTTAAACGTCTCGATTTTTTAAAACTGGAGAAAATGGTAAAGGTTTGTACATCCATTAATAAAATTTCAAGGCTTAGTATTATTTTGGCTAAAATCTTAATTTAAAATTGGCGAAATCGATTCGTTTAACACTAACTACGTGTGCAAATATTAGCCGAATATTAGCAATTTTTTTTGAAGTTAAGAATTGAACAACTATGTCTTTTTCCTTCAAAAAAATAACGGACAGTTTCAGTTCTAGATATTTTATATTGATTTGAATAAGTAGATTCCAAATGCCACCTTCCTACCCGTAGTTATTGCCGTATACTTCTTTTAATTATTTGTAAGTGTCGGATCTGAATTTGGGGGCATAAAAATTAAACGGCCCCCTCTCCCAAGGAAATATTTTTTGCCCCTGCCCACCCCTTAAATTATTTTAGAATTCTTTTGATTCCCGGAAAATATTTTTTGGATAAATTTTTTAAAAATAAGAATGTAATGGAAAGAAATAACTGTTGTTCAATCTACTATCAATTTTAATAAAATTTATTCAAGTCTGCTGAAATGCCTAATGGCGCCAACGCACCTAATATTGCAATGAGAAAATATAGCAGTTAATTTAGTGGAAGAATGAAAATGATCAAGGTGCCAAGATTCAGAATAAGGAAAATGAGCTTGAGCTTTCAAAAACAAAATAGATTCTTTAGTTATTTTTATTGCAAATATTTTATAAATGATTTAAATTAGGTATCACCAAATAGGTCAACATCTAGTGTTGTTAAAAAACCCGATTGGGGTTGATTTTAAGAAATGACCGATCAAAAATATAACCAAAATAATTGGAGATTTTTCTTATCATAGATGGGAGAAAGGTTTGGACAGCTTTGCCAAATGACAAGGCTTACATTTTAAAAATCGACCCATATAGGGCTTTTTAACAACAATACCAACATCATTCAAAAAGACTGTTACTATTAATGAAAAAGATTTTCTAAAGTTTTATAAATACGTAGGTTGAATAATTAATTGAAGCTGATGCAGTTTCTTGTATTCCTTGAACTTAAACAATGGTGAATCAATCTATACCAAAACGGGTTGAAAGTTATTGTATAAAGGAACCTTGAGAAACATTATAATGTGGAATTCATAGAAGAGGATTCTTAATCTAAAAGATTTTTCCAATATTTTTGAATAGACTACTTAGAAAATTTAAATCAAGATAGCCATTTTAATCTACATAAAAAAAATTAAAACCTTTATTGGCAAGCAATATTCCTGAAGAGGGATTAGTAATTGAGATGTTAAAAAATTACTTGTTAAAAATTTAGAATTTTGCATCAGATTTTGTTAAATTTCTATACCCATACAAAAATGAATATGCAAATGTTTTTCAAATATTGATCAGTTTCGGTCATCCACATTGAGTTGTAAGTCAACTTTTTTACCACAAAAGAGAATTATTAAATCATATAAACGTTCGAGTAATTTTATTAGGACATAGAAAAAATATAAAACTATTAATTTTTGAAATGTTTTCAAGGTAATTAAAATTACATCTCAACAAAAATTATATTGTTAATGCTTTATTTTTGTTAGTTATGCACAATCATTGATCATAATATCAATTGTAATATAGTAATAAATATATTTCAAATTATAAATATTTTATAATTGAATCCCTTATTTGTAAAATCCTTAAATCAACTTATTTCTTTTAAGCTATAAGTCAATTTATCTTCCATCTAATTTTATAAACATATTTGATTATTGAATATTTCTATATACGGTGTTTTTCAAATAAAATCGTACATTTCAATTTTATGTTCAAATGACCTAAATATTCGTTCTATGGTGTTGGAATTTTTTTTAACTGCCCCACCCCTAAATGGGTGAAGCTAAATCGGGCTTGTTGCTATTTAGTGTCAAATATTTATCCAATAACGCATATTACAACTATTATTAGTCGCTCTATATGGTAATTGTCAGATTTTATTTGATTATTTTCATTAAAATAAAACTAAATAAATAATGCTTTTTATTATTATAAAAATTATTTATAAATAAAATCATAAGTTGAGTTATAAGCTACCATTATTACACCAATATACCAATATTAAATATCATTCATTCGACACAAGTATCAAAATATGAATTAAATCAGTTGTGAAACGCGACATTTTAACACCCAAAGTCACTGTAAAAAATTAGTAAAGCTAAGAAGATAAAACAAATGGAGGCAAATATAAAATAAAAATTGCGGCCCGAACTATAAGCGTTATCTTTTATTCTATAAAGATTAATTTTTCTATCGACGGATATGCTAAGAAGACAAGCTTGACTGTTTAGAGAGAAAAATGGTTGTGATAAATGGGTTTTTTCCGTTTTTTCGTTATCGTGTTCATGATTAAGTGGAATAAAATCGAGCCCTGTTATGAATATGTCGTGGGCGTGAGGAAAGTGAGATAAGCGCTGGATATGATTAGAAATTAGTTATTTTAGGGTAAAATTGTGAGATGAAGTGACAATAAGTGTATAAAAATAATGCGAGCCTTATTAAACTAGAACCATGGAATTGCATGTTCAAATTAGGCCAATCCGAAATCGGGCCGGATTTGGTTTGAAGCAAGGCTCCACTAACCTATGTAATAAAAATAAAATAATGGGATCCTGTTTTCACAGTTAGCGCGAATTCGTGGCGAAGTATACAAAATTCGCGGAAAGGAATACAAAAACACAGTATTTTGTAAACATTGTGGCAAACTCGCGCTAACTGTGAATGAAGTGTTATGCCATATTACATCAAATTATGTATACTTTTAAATCGTTTGTTGTGTATATGGACACCGAACCATCACTAGTACCTATTGCCAAATATTTCCCGGAATAACTAAATTGATTTATATTAACAAAAAAGTATATATGATATTTTTTTAAATATATATTTCAAATAAGATTATAAAAATATCTAATATCGTAATAAATTTTTGTTTGTTGCTATGTGAGATTTTTGATGTATATTAACAGACTATGATATTTATTCGATATAAATTCATTTCAACAAATGTACCAAAGGCTTAGAGTTATATATAAAAAAATAGTTTTCTATAAAAATTTTAATAACTCGAGTGCCAATATATAGGATTCCTCATTGCCGGTAACCTTGATATCGCATATCCTATAATCTGTTTTATTATCAAAACCTTCATCTAAATCCGATTCCAAAATTTCCCATTCAGTTAGGTAAGATGGTTGTCGAACTTTGGCGCGTGTACAGGGTATGTGAACTGTATACAACTTAGTTTGAGGAGAAGCCGTTTGATATCTAGTAAACAAAATTTTAATTGAAAAATAATTTTATTTTTATAAGTAATTTATTATTTTAAAAAATCTTGCTTTCTGTCTTAAGGTGGCGCGGACTGAGAACGTCATCGAACCCTAATGTATGTTTTAAAAGATTTCTCATAATGGTTGGGGTCAGGAAGGGTATCCAAGAGTGAAAAAAACATATGCAAATAAATAGCCTTAATATAATCTATACGTGGAAAATAATAATTTTAAAAAACAATATCTAATGAAACTAGATTTTTTTATTGCAGGATCGCTATTTTTCAAAAATTAACAATGTAGGGCACATTGACAGGCATGTTTCGTGTCCTAAACAATGTAGTATTTGAACTCTATTTGAGGGCTTTATTAAAAATGGAAGGAGCATCTTAAGTTATCTACTATCTAGCGTTGTTAAAGGTTATTTTAAAAAGTAGTTAATTATCGTTACTACCACTAGTTACATTTTTAAAGCAACTAGTTACATTAAAAGCAGGGTGTCTAACAGATAAGATGGTCCCCTCAGGTTCTTAGTTGAATATTATTAAAACGGTTTAGTTCCTTTTCAGTACTTTAAAAGAATTTATAACGGTAAGTTTCGGTTTACAAATGCATATCGGCTTTTTATCGTTTCGATTTTTATAAGCTTTGATTTTTAAAGAATAATCATTTCATTGTATATATTATTTTGTTAACATCTAATTAGTGTTGTGAAACGACCCAATTTTTGTAAAGGGCAAAACCAATATTTTAGCAAAAAATTCTGCGCAAACTTCAAGATTTTGTTAATAATGTGCAAACAGTTCTAGCATCTATGAGCAAAATCTCCAGGCTTGCGTAATAATTTTGGACAAAATATTGAGTTAGCCGTTTTTAAACATAGAGCCGTTTAACCATACTATACTATTAATCTAATAAAAAAATATTTTGCAAGCTTTTATAATTAAGAAGCAAGAAAAGATTTTAAATATTTTAAATTATGTTAATAATTTTATGTTAATCATTTTAAATATTTTAAATTATGTTAAACATTTAAAATAATAAACGTATATATATAATGTTTCGGTTTTTGCAATTTACAAATTTTAATCAAAGAAATTTAAATACAATTCAGATAAAGACATAATTACACTGAAAAATGACTATAATATTTGATTGAATCTAAAATTTATAAATACCATAAGGAAAAATTATTTCATAATTGGTAAGCTAGTTTTTCTAAAAAATAATACACAGACTGAACACAGAAGCGTTTGATGTAAGTGCGACTATTATTTTAAAAAAAACAGTAATTAAATCATCAAATAAGATATTTAGAAAAGTTATTAGTTAATTTTGTAATTACATTTGTAGGTAGTTAAAGTAATTTCTTTGCAAAATGTAATTTAACATTACAAATATACAACATGGAAAATTAGGGCTGTGCCGATATTTAATATAGGATCGGCATCGATATTTAGCGTTTTCAAAAAATATAGGATCGGGCTGATCTTTTTTAAAAAACCGATCCGATCTGATATTTTTTTTATTGTTTTTAGTTATTTTATAATTGTATATATAATCATATATTCATAATAATAAATTAAAGAAAGGAACTAATATACAATTTATTTGTTGTAATGTTTTAAAATATAGTTTGTGTTAAATATGGATTTATATATATAATAATTTTATTTATACTAAGGTGTTTTATAGCATAAATTGTAATTTATTTCATTCATTCTTTGTATTTTATAAAATAATTTTCTATTAATATATTAAATATTTAACTCTTCATTTAAAAAAAATATAATTTTTTTATTAGACCAAAAAGAGAGATTGTAATTTTGTATTATTTTTAATAAAATTTAAATTTCCATTTGTACACAACTCCCTGCTAATCTTAACAGTTTGAATTTTACACTATTTTTTGTTATATTATATGCAAAAATAAAAGGATTTTAAAACATTTAACGAGTCACAATAGTTAGTTTTGCTTAAAGGCTCGATTTAGCCAATTTTAAAACGATTAACTAAAATTTTATCCAAGAGTAAATTACCCATGACTTCTATTAGTGAAATTTCGAGGCATAGGCAATAATATTTTGGTTAAAATTTTGATTTGCCCCTTTTAAAAAATCGACTAAATGGAGCTGTTTAACAAAACTACCTTCACCCATTAACATTGTAAATATTTTAAATGTGAATATTAACCTTTGAAAAATAAAAAATAAATACACTTAATCATTCGTGAAAGTTAATTGGTTTTTTCTAAATAGAAAATATTGATATATTTAGGACATTGATACAAAGATAGATGGTAAAATAATAATCAATATAAATATCGGATCGGTGAAAAATTTGTGGTCGGCACAGTCCTATCGAAATTTTAATCAAATAAACTTATTAAAATATAAATAAAGTAATGGTATAAATATTTTAGTACCTACCTACATGCCCTAAATCTGTAACGAGTAGCAAGGCTCCACTTAAGTTCACATATTTTGGAGCCATCTTCCGAGTTCCATACATAAGCATGCCCGTCACGTGATAATGAAACGATCTATTTATAAATTTTAAATTATATTAGGTGGGGTATTTTCGATAGAGTTAATTTAATAAAATAATGAGGATAATAAATTAGGACTGCACCGATATTTTTGCCGATATTAAAATAACCTTATTATGATGTGCGTATCTCGGAATTGGCAATATATTGCAGTTAGTTTTTATGCATGAACATCTAGGAATATCGATATAACACAACTTGTATAAGATAACATTATTATAATAAGGAGCAGTTAGAATCAGGCGGTCCAAAACATGTTCAAAATCGAAGAAGAGTGGCTAACATTTTCAATACCTTTATATATTCATTCCAACAATAACCAAAAAATACTAAATATCTAAAATTTTAGATGAATTTAAGTTTTTCTTGCAAGCACTTAATATTGAGTATAATACAAAATTTGGTTATTTTGGCATAATTAGAGCCTATGACCTATTTCAAACGTGATCCACTCCCCTAAAAAATTAAATTAGGTCTAACCGATCTGGATGAACAATTTCCATGAAAAATAATGTAATTAATTTTTTAGCGAAAATGAGAAAATATCTTTAGGAAAATAAAATAATTTAAATTTTTGCTTTGCCTGAATCAGACCCAATAAAAATTAAGTTTTAAATCAGTATCTAGTCTAGAGAAAAAAGAAAGTCTCTCAGCCAGGTTCCGGCAAGATTATAGTAAAAAATCTTACCTTATCTAAATGGCATTTAATAATAAAAAACAATCAATAATGATTCCCTATTATATTAAAATTTTATGTAAAGAAATCACAAGGAAATAATAATTTAAAATTTAAAATAAATTAAATATTACATGAGGCTTGGTAGGATGTATTTCTAAATCATCGATTTCGTTTTCATGGGCTTTGATTTCGCGAATTATAGCCAAGGTATCCATCTTATAATAATTAATAAAATTTCCTAATATAATAATGGGACATATACAGGTTAGAAGTGTTTTATTTATTAATGCCTATTGCAAAGACGATGGTATATTAAATTATAAGCCCTTCATATATGTATTAAGCAAAAAAAGTTTAAATGTATATTTTAAAAATTTTTTAAATGATTATGTAAGCAACATACATTAAAAATATGATTTCACAAAAGTTCATAAACTTGTATATATAATTATTTTGAATATTTAGAGATATCAATTTCAAGAGATTAAGCGAGATTACGAATTTCAAACATATCTTCCGATTTTTAAATCTGGGAAATCATAATTGACCGAAAAATTCCAACTAACCCACACTGTGAATTTCAAATAATTCTGCCATAAACTGTTGAAATACATTTAAATTATAATAGAAAAATACACAAAAGTTTATGGCAGAAATTGTCTGAATTTTATAGGGTAGGTAGTCTAGAGTGTGGAATATATATCCAACCAAATCAGATTTTTCAAATTTAAAAATCACACTAATTAAATGATATAAATTTGAGATATTCCGAGTCCCCATGGATTCCATATCACAATGTGATGTATATATAAAATTGAAAAAAAAGTTCATAAAAATAAATTTGGAAATTTTCTAAATTTTAATAAATCAATTAAAACCCTCATCGAGCCGGTCCTAACCCAGGTCTAATTGAACTTAAAAGACATTTTTACTTGGTCGGATTTGGACTAAAATTTATTTAGAATGGGATATCTAAATTTCCTTAAATTATTTGTTTTCTAGTTTTTCCGTTTTAGTTCAAATATTGTTCTTTTTCACCAGTCCAATAAAAGAAATTTGGATCATATCCTTTTTTAAATTAAAGTTTGAATAGGATTCGGATCCTTAAAAAAATATTCGGATCTGTCGAACAAACAGTTTTATTTTTTTTCTCAGATCTGGTTGGATTTTTAAAAAAATAGGTCCAACTAATAGAGTCTAAAATTCATATTATAATAAATGGTAGATTAACGGATTGGAGTAGTAAAAAATATGCATAATATAAAAAAAAATACCCATTTAATATTTTTTTAAATAATATACTATTTAATATTTTTTTAAGGTAATAATAAACAAATAAACATCCCTAACCCTGTAAAGGTATTATTTTATTATATATTCATTATGATGAAAATTTCATTGTTAATAAATAAATATATTACCTTTATATACTTTAATTTTAAATCCTTAACTTATATAAATTATTCAAGGCACAACTTCCAAAAATGATACATTTTTTAATATTATTTTATTGTAAGATATAAAATGAATAGTTACATTCCAGATCCTTATGAATCCATCAGTCCCACCAGTAATGATGAATTTTCGGTCAGAACAAATCTTGACCGTCTTTTGATGAGCAGTGATTTTATGTGTGTCTGTGGTAACAGAATGTAAATGGATTAGTTTAAATTCATTTTTTAGCTCATATTTAGGCGATTCGTGAGTATAATTTGAACGTTTCTCGTTTACATACACATCATTTATTTCTTTATTTTCATCTAAGAAATGTTGAACCACGCCATTCTTTTTAGTTATATTGGAAATGATATTGAGGTCTAGAGAAGAGCGTGATTTATTATGGGAGGCTTTATGGTATGGTAAATGACCATTTGATAAAGAACCATTGGCTAATTTACCATTGTGAGAGGCATCGGAGTCATAACGTTTTCTGTGACGCAAATCTAAATGTATCAAATATATATTTAAAATGTGATGGGCATATTTGTACTTATATTTGGAGATTTTAATAATAAGAGAGTAGAAAACAGCCAGATTAAGATTTTAGTCAAAATAATATTGTGTAGATATCGAGATTCGGCAAATAGAGGTCCAAACCTTTCTGCCATTTATGAGCAAAATCTCCAGGTCTACATAATATTATTTTGGCTAATTTCTTAATCGGGCCATTTAGCACCACTAGTACAAAGTTGGGCCATGCCACAAATAGTTGTATCTAAAATACAAGATCCTTTTCTGTATTTTGCATCTTTCTGATATTTTAATATCTTAGATAGATAGATATAAGATATTATATTTTTAAAAGAATCTTTTTTATTTCCTTGACACAAAATAGTTACATTATATTCACTTTTATCATTTATAATTAATTTATGAAATTCATAAGAATAAATTAAAAGAAATAGGGAATAATTATTAGTATCTTCTTTCTTTCTTTTATTGGTCAAAAATATTTATATAGTTTTTTTTATAAGTTTTTGACTAAAAAATTTTTTTAATTTATAAAGATAACCTTATCATTTTTTGAATAATATAAACTGGTCTTAGTTGAAAATTTGAAGGTATAAACTGATACCAAAACTTACATACTGTGATTACTGGCCTAATGTATATCTAGATAATTTTTAATAAAAAGATTTTATATCAAATATACTCTTATAATCAGCCACGATTCGGTTGACCCCCTTCGATTTTTTTAAAATTTGGTAGGCAAAGAAAGTTAATGTATAAGAAATCGAAATTTTGGCCTTCTAACGTTTATATTTATGGAGATATTAAGGTTCAAAGTGGCAAAAATGAAGTATATGACAATTATCTGCCTTAACTCAATTAAGCATATCTTAAAAACTACATAATTATAAATAACAAATTTAATATCAAAATTACGCACAAAGATTATACTTCTAGATAAAAATAAATTTTTCCAACAGCCATTTAAGTTAATATATAAAAACTAAAAAAATTTTTTGGAAATAATAAGACTTTCAATTAAAAAATTTAGTATACATTACTAAGCTCTTCCTTTATACTTATAAAAAAATCGGTCTTGAACGAGACCAGCTTCTATCTAGAGGAGGCGTCTTTGTATAAAATTATACATTAATCAGTTTTTAATGGTTTTTCTTAAGCTATTTAATATAATCTAAAGGAGTATTCATTTTGTAAGGAAATATTTATAACTGGCCATGTCCTAAACCAAGGTTCAGGGACAATAAAATTAAACTACCAATTATTTGTATAAATATAAAGGAAGGTGTATCTACTAAATTTTTTATAAAAATCGAAGGTAGTATTATTTCCAAAAAAATGTATTCAGTTCTTATATATTAAATAAAATGGCCAGAAATGGATATTAACTAGTGTTGTTAAACAGCTCGTTTTGAGCCGATTTTTAAACGGTTAACTCAATACTACATCCAGAAAACATTATACAAGCTTGATTTGCTCATAGAAGGAACAAAGGTCTATACATATATTATCGAAATCTCAAGGCTTAGGCAATATTTTTATAATATTGAGTTAGCCGTTTTAAAAATCGGCTCAAAACAAGCTATTTAACAACACTCATATTAACTTTGTTATTTACAATTAAGTAATTTTTAAGATGTGCTTAATTGAATGAAGGCAGATAATAGTAAAATATGTCATTTTTGCCAGTTTGAAGCCTATATCTTCAAAAATATAAATGTTACGAGGCTACAATTTTTGGCATAATTACACTAACTTTTCTGCCCTTGCCAAATTTTAATAAAATAAAGGGGTTGGCTGAAAATCTCATTTTTTGCTTATTTGACATGGAATGTGACCCTCTTATATTATGCAATTTTGACATTTTTAATAAGATACATTCATCTAAGATAAATATTTTTTTATAAAGATTTGTATTAAGGGGTGTTATTAACTTTCTATTTTTAGGGGGCCAAATAGGTCCCAAAATAAAAAATTAATTAAAATCAGTGTATTTATTTATTTTTTGTTTCAAAAATTGTATTTTCAAAATTTGAACAAGGCTCAAACCTTCAAGAGCAATCCCCCTCTCCCCCAGTTTTCTGAAATATCTCATGATTGTTATGTCACCTAAATATTATAACATACATTTATAAGTAGATTTGAATACTATGTTGTAATAACAAATTATGTTTAACTATAAAATTTAGGCATTTTCTTTTATTAATTAAATTTTTTTAACTTTATATTATGTTTATATGTTAATCTATATTGTACTAAAATAATATTTTTTTAATTGTACTTATTTTTAAATATGTAAATATAAAAATTTATCAATATAAAATATGATTTTAAACTTAAATTTTTTTTGGCTAATGATTGATTTGTTGACAACTTTTCTATAAGTTTTTCATCAATATTTTTTTGTATATATCTTTGCAAATGGAATGTTTGACATATATCCCCTAACCCTAAGGCCAAAAAATATTCTCCTAATATAGAATCGATGCATGAGTGTGCCATATTCATGGGTGCATATAAGCCCATATCTAGCAAGGAAACTATTTTTCCATATATTCGTTGATTATCAATTTCAATTTCGTATATAGCCTTAAAATATATAAATTTAAGTATATAAGTATTAATAAATTACCAGAGAATTATCTACACCGGTTTTTGAACAGCCCCCTCCACCGGCCACTAAAAAATATCGGTTATTCAAAGCTTTTACACAATAAAGAGGATAATCAGTTATTGCCAAAAGGCTATTGTTTTTAAAGGGCATATGAGCAACTATATTGATTGCTACGTCTCAAAGAAAATGCATATGTGTAAATTGATATAGCTTATATTCTCCTGGAAAACAGTAACTAAAGTAAATTTCAAGTTTCATTATTATTTCAGCTTATAATAAACTAAATATATTGTAACAAATATCATTTTTAATTTATTTTGATAAAATTTTAAAAGTATGATATTGTAATATAATATTAAATAGAATAACTGAACAGGTGAAATCATTAAAAATTTTATTATGGTCTAATATAGTGCTATTTAAAAAAATTTGTTTTATATTAAATTATTAGTTTTTCCTATAATGCATTTCAAAGAATTATGCTATGTCCTCTTTAGTTTAAAAAAATAAAATATTCAAGGTTATTTTCATATTTTAATTTTGTCGGTATCTCTATCTGCTTATCAAAAACTTATATACTCCCTAAGGCAATATAAATATTGTTTCCTATCTACCCTCTACTTCTTACCCCTTAGTCAAAGAAAAGGAAATCAGAATTAGCATAAATAAAGACGTTTAAAATAAATATTATTAAAAAGGAAATCAAAGAAAATTACTAATAAAATAAAATTACCAACTTCATTTTTTCTATAACTATTTTAAACAATATTTTTAATATTTACTGCGGTTCAGATTTTGGGCTAATGTTGTTAAACTGCTCGATTTTTAAAAACGGCTAGCCCAATACTTTAGCTAACAAATATTATGCAAGCCTAGAGATTTTACTCATAGATGGCAGAGAGGTTTGGACATCTATTAACAAAATTTCTAGACTTGCCTAATATTTTTTGGCTAAAATATAGATCAGGCGTTTTTAAAAAATTGAATCGTTTAACAATACTAGCAATGGCGTAGCTAGGAATTTTCCTTAGAGGGGGTCCATACATATAAAAGCCTGGGGGGCTTCGCCGGCCTTCGGCCCTTTTGCCCGGCCTTCGGCCGGGTTTATCAAATCATAACCATATCTTAGATAATATATAATAAATATATTTTTTAAATGCATCAATAATTTGTTTTATAATTTAGTAGCTTATTCTCAATGACTTTATAATAATACTATCCATATAATTTCAATAGTAATAAAATATTCTTCCACAAACATCAAAACCAGAAAAATATAAATATTATTGGTATTTATTTGATATAAAGTCACCACTTATAAGTCTTTTGAACGTATAATCTAAAAATAAATTTTTGTTCTGGGAGGGGTCCAAACCCGAAAACCACCCCCGTAGCTACGCCACTGAATACTAGTATGGATGCCTGGCTTATAATTTAAAGAAGGGGATTACTAACTCGTTATATGCAATTCTTTTAGTTTTTTTCTTGGAGTTATGTTGGAAACACATGATGGCTAGCTAAGATTAAGAAACCTATTTCATGAAATTAAAAAAAATACATTGTGATTCTATATAAATATAATTTCAATATAATATTATTTTAAGATATAAATTTGAGTGCTATCATAATATATAATAAATTGAAACAAGTGAAAGTAATAATAGGAATCGTGAAAAGGTTTCGATTATTATAATATATTCTTATAAATTATTTTAATAATATTATAATATAATTTAATCAATATTATAATTTTTTTAAATAATATTATAATTTATTTTAAATAATATTATAATTTATTTTAAATAATTTTATAATTTATTTTAATTAATATTATAATTTATTTTAATTAATATTATAATTTATTTTAATTAATATTATAATTTATTTTAATTAATATTAAAATTTATTGTAATTAATATTATAATTTATTTTGATTAAAATTATAATTTCTATTTAATATTATAATTTATTTTAATTAACCTTTCAAAACTCTGGTGGGGTATATGAAACCCCAGGCATAGTAGAAATGATATTGCATAAAAAAGGTTAAATATTATGATCTAAATTCTTTAGCAGCTTCACCAAATATATTTTAGAATCTATATTCAAGTTTTATATATTTTGGTTGGGTAGTTTTTAAGATATAAACATTTTATGACTGATTGGGGTTTGTGAGACCCCACCAGAGTAAATTTGTAATTTTTTAGGAAATGTTTTCTTTGAAATTATAAATATATATACTACTATATTATAAAATTTATCAAAATAAAATTTAAATATCTTATATTTAAAATGAGATATATGAAAAAGAAAACGTAAAGATTTTCTCTGGTGGAGTTATTTTATTTATATTTTTCAACAACTGACTCATTTCTCAAATTATTTTTATCATTTATAATGATTTTTGCAGATTCTGAAACTAAATATATAATTATTTAAGATGTAATATCATTTTATTTGAGGTGATTATGACTAAAATTAATAGTGAGGATGAAAATTTTATATATGATAGTGATCATAATACACAATCTGAATTAGATGAAGAAGAAATGTTAGTTGAAGACAATAAACTTTATATTATTTAGGCAAATATGAAATCAGAGTTGTTAAGGAGCGGAGCTACAGAAGCGCCGATACATTTTTTCAAACACACCTGGAGCGCCCCCTTTTTAAAAATAAGGAGCAGGAGCTAGCTTCTTATAGGGCTGGAGTGGATGAGCGCCGCTCCACCGCTCCTTTAAATTTAAGGTATAAATTAAATTATTTTTTAAATATTAATAATATTTGTTAATTAAAATTCAATAAAAATGAAATTTTATTTTATTTAAATTTATCCATTATTAAATGTTTAGCCGAGTTTTATAATGGTTTTCATCTAATTATTTTAAATATTAAACCAGGGATGTGAACCCTTCGACAAAAAAAAAGGGTCCGGGTTCGGGTCCGGTAATAAATTTAAAAGGGACCCGGGTCCAGGGTTCGGGTCCGGGTTCAGAGGAAACATAAAAATAATGACTCAAAATAAGACTTTTTTTCATTCATTTTTTATTATACTTCAATATATACACATTTATAATTCGAAATGAGATAATTTATATTTTAAATATTTTATTCAATCGCACAATCATGATATCTTCTAAAATATCATCCTTCAGATTTCCACGTAAATTAGTCAACGATGAAAATCCACGTTCTACGCTTACCTAAAATAGTTAGTCATTTTTATAATACATAAATTATTGTACTTGTGTCGCCGGTACAGCCATGACGATTCTAGAAAAGGTATATAATTCTGGATATATTGAAGAATTTTCCTCCTAGAATTTTAAAATGTTTGCATCTCTATTTACATAACTTCCGAGAACTTTTCTATTAAAGATACAATAGATATTTTTTGCTCCTTTCTATCAAATGATAATTTAATTTTTTTTCTCTATCTAATAGTAAAATTTCCAGATCATCAATATCGTTATCTTTATCATTGTTATCACTACAACCAGTAGATATTGTTGTAACTATCAATGTATTGTAAATAATAGAGTTTTGGGTATGCCATAAATCTTCAAGATGGTCTATAGCTATTTGTTTTTGCTCACTACTTAATAAAACCTGATATCGCGGGTCTAAATATATAGAAGCATATACAACACTATTTTGTAAATATTGTTTCTCTCTTATTTTCGTATTTTCTAATACTTCATTTGAAAAAGAACTTGTTAATCTCTCTAACTCTAATCGACATCTTAACCATATGCCATAAAAATCCGATAAACATAATTGTTCTGCTTGCACTCTTAATGTTGTTATTTTTAAAGGAACCAGCGCACTAGTAAGCTCTTTTACTTGATTCCAATCATCTTCTGACAAAATGATTTCACATGCTCCTATGTTAAAATCATTACAGAAATCTTTCAAACTTAATAATCGCTCTAGCATCATACAGAGGACCAACGTGTTGTGCAATCTAAAATTGCCATTTAATTTTTCATGGATTTTAATATTCTAACAATTGTGGGAGTTCTTAAATATTTTACAACATCCCTTGCTTTATCAATTATAGTTTTAAAGTGACTATTTTTTAGGGAGATTCCACGAAAAAAATTAATAAAATATAAAAATTTTACATTATTTTTTAAAAATTAATAAAATTATATATATTTTATAATTTATATTATTTTCTAAAAATTAATAAAATTATAAAAATTTTATATTATTTTTTAAAAATTATATTTGTACATAAATTTTTTAAAAAAAAATTTAAGTTAAAAATTTTTAGCACCCTGAACCCTCCACTTTTTAAAAGGGTCCGGGTCCGGGTTCAGCCAAAATACGAGGGTCCAGGAGGGTTCAGGGTCCGGGTCCGGGTTCACATCCCTGTATTAAACATCAAGTTTTTCTTTTTTATATTGAAGATTTATTGCAAAATCTCGTAAGTCATATTATCATTCATTTTATAGATATATAATAAAAAACAGTTTTAGATATTATGGATTTAGAGATCATAGAAGAAGAAATCGAATTTCCATTTCCATCAAACAAAAAATATTTTAAACTTCTAAAAGATGTTGATCCAAATGATCAAACAAATTTAAGGGCAAAATGCCTTTTGTGTTTAAGTATAAGTATTTCATTTTCAAAAGTGAGCAGCTTCAATCTAAAAAAGCATTTAAAAGTAAAAAACCTCTCTTTTAAATACAAAATGATAACTGTATTTTTTATATTTTGGAATAATTTTTTTTAAATGGTTATAATTATTTTTGGACAATTCATTATAGTTGAGCCTGGGTTGTTAGATATGTATATGATGCTTTTTTAAATATATTTTAATATTTATTTTAATTTTCTCATACTTATTCAACCTCCTTTTTTATACCTGAATTAAAAAATATCTTATAAAATACAATACCTCGCTTCCCTCTAGTGATCCTGTGGAGCGCTTATTTAGTAATTCAAAGCAGGTCATAGGGAAGAAACATGGAGGTTTTTTCGATTCTAATTTAGAAAATTTATTATTTTTATAGGCTAATAAAGATTAGAAGTATCTCGATAGATCATTTAATATAAATAAAACCTTTTGATAAAAAATATGATTTTGTTTCGCATACCATCTAAAAAATATGGAAATTCAAAGGAGTGGTTAAGGAGTGGAGTCTCCATTACTTGGAGCGGCAGCTAGCTCCTTTTAAAAATGTAGTAGCGGGAGCTAGCTCCTTTT